TTGATTTTTCATAGCCATTAATAATTGTTGTATGTAGTTGTGTGTGCTGGTATTTGGTGCATGTGTATTTATGACTGTTATCTCTTCCTCTTGAATTGTTCCCTTTACAAGGATGTAGTGACATTTTTTGTCTCTTAATCAGTCTTGCCTTGAAATTTACTTTGTTTACAAATCGAACAGCTACCTCTACCTCTTTTCTCATTCCCGTCTTGTGGAGTAGTGTTTCCCACCCTTCAACTTTCAGTCTATGAATTTCTCTTTGAGTTAAATGTGTTTCTTGTATGCAGCATATTGTTGGATCTGCCACTCTGTGTGTTTTCGACCACTACTGATTGCAAATCTGTATGTATCGCTTTCCTAATTCATGCTTGGGAACTTTTCTGCCATTACTTCTGTGAACGGGGTTTTTGTGTCGTTTGCACTCTGTGGCTTTCTGACTGACTCTGATCAATCTTATGCTATTCTTCTTTGCACCATCTAGCATTTTTTGGCTTAATTTCTCATGGTGTCTTGCTACTTTTTTGATACTGGACACTGAACTCAAGATCTTGCCCTTGCCGGACAGGTACTGTGCTGCTATATCCCTGGCTGGTCCCTTGCTATTCTTAAGAAATCTTTTTCATGATCACTGACCACAATCCTGTCCTCAGGGTCTGATAGTCTGTCCTCACATTGGCTCATTCTGCGGTGCATACTTTCGGTGGAATTTTAAGCTTCCTGGATGTCTGCTTGAATCCGTCTCATGGGCATTCATAGTCTCCATCGTTTTCTTAAGTTCTTCTATTTTTAAAAATCTGTACCTTCTCTAGAGTCACCATGACGGTCATCATCTCGGTGGTTATGGGACTGATTCTGCCTTGAGTTTTTTCTAGAGCCTTTCATCTGCTGTGTTCCCTTCCAAGAATCTGAGTGGGAGGCTTTCAAAGCGCCGCCGCCTTGCCCCCTGGGTTTGCCTTTGGTGAGCTGGAAGTCGGGGTTGCAGCATGCTGAAGTGTCTTCCCATTTTCTTTCTTTTTTAGTTTAATCCCTGGGTTGATGCTTGTAAATTGCTTGCGGTAAGTAGTTTAGGGGATTCTTGGGAAATGGCTTCTTCGCAGGGATGTTTTCTAACTGGATCTGGCTTTTGAGTTTTGAGTCCGTTACAGTACTTTATGTCTTGAATTTATTGGGGATGAGAAGTTGTGGCCTACCTGGCCAGCCTCTGCTACTTTGGCACTGGAGCGTTCTTTATGGCTCTTAGGCAATCTCAGTCTTGACAAACCAGAAAGAACAACCAATTAGAACAATTACATCAGCTTGGCTGATGCAGTTCAATCAGCAATAACAAAAGCATCAAACAGCCAGAAAATGGCGCTGTGGTAACTATTAACGTGCCACCTTTAACCGTATGAACTCAGCTTGTTGTTGTATTGTGAAATCTAAACAAGCCAGAATCACGGTGTGTCATTTCTTAATGTGGAGTCTGATTCCATGCTAAGATTATATTTAGAAATTTCAGGGCTGGGGATTTAGCTCAGCGGCATAAGCGCCTGCCTTGCAAGCAGGCAGTCGTGAGTTCAATCCCCAGTACCGATAAAAAGGAAAAAGACAAAAAAAAAAAAAGAAAGAAATTTCACATCAGTCTTCCGTGCATTGCCTCTATTAGGTTTATAGAGCAATGTTATACTTTAAAAAATGAACTAGGAAGTTTTCCTTCCCTTTCCATTCTCTGGAACAGCATATGGAATATTTGAGATTTTGGCCTTTGAAGTTTTGGTTGATTTCTCTTGTGAAAGTGCATGCCCCGTCTGGGGAGATATTTAATAATGTTCTCTACCTTTAGGCCAGAAACAGGTCTATGAATTTTTCTTATGGGGCCAGCTATTATTTTTTTAGGAATCCATTTTTATCTAGGTTTTCAAATTCATTTGTGTAGAGATGAAACAGCTTCTTACGGTATTGTATTTTTCTGTTGTTTCCATAATTATTTCACCTTGCCCTTGCTGATTGCTCTTGTTTTTTCTTGACAATATTAGCTGGTTTAATCTTATTTTTTGATACAGGACTTTCATTTATTAATTAGATCTACTGCATTTCTATTCTCTCATAAATTTTTGGTTCTTGAAAATTTTGTTCTTAACACTTTTTTTGTACTGGGAATCGAACTCAGGACCTGGCGCCTGCCAGGCAGGGCTCACACCACTGAGCTGTATCCCGGCCTTTTCCCCGCTTTCTTTAGGGATCCTCTACTGTAACCTTTTTTATTTATTTTACTGAACTTTGAGCTGGGATATTTTCATCAACTGATGTTCATATTTTTTATTTATAAAAGTTCTTAAGGTTTCTGTATGTCTCTGATCCCTGTATTAAATGTGTTCCCAAATACTATGATTATCCTTCAGAAATCCAGCAATTTGAGTTTCTGTTTGCTCTCTTAATCAAAGAGTTGTTTAATAATAAAAAGTTTTAAAATTTCCAGGTCATACCCTTGTACAGAATTCTTAATAATCTCCGCTTTTGTTAAATGATACCAAAAGGTGCTATTATTTATATTATTATTATTATTACTCCTGTTTCTATCATTATTGAGCATGTGACTTCTGATAAATTCTTGTGAATTTGCACGGGGAGGTACATTCTGTAGTCTATGAATTAAAATTAGATACATGACCCTATAGTTTCCCTTTCTCTCTCATTAATAATAGCTCTTCTCACAATAATGAGACCTATCTTAAGGAGTATGTTAGGACTATAAACTGTTTTGCAGCTTGTCTGTACCCGTGTGGTAATTATGCAGCCTGACGGTTTCCCTGTGACCTGCTGAGCACGCAGCACACTGGACCGTGTCCTCCCCGGCCCCTCCTCCTCTTCTCAGGCTCTTGATCAGGCCTGTGGCTCAGGTTTTTATCTCCTAGATCTTCGTGCCTGAGTGGGCTGCTGGAGTCTCCTCTTTCTGTTTCCCTGGGTCTCCTGTGGTTTTTCCAGGAGAGCAATTCCTTCCAGAGATAAACTGTGATGGTTTTGCTCACATTAATCAAACAGCTAAACACCGGTTTGTCTGGCAGAATCAAGTGTCAGCAGGGTGGCCGTGTCGGTGCCTTGTGAGCATTTACAGCCATGGCTGTAATCCAGAGCCACCCCGCGCTCCGGACTGCTCCCTTGTCTAACTGATTGGACCCAGCACAGCCCCGGCAGCTCCTGAAACCCTGCTCTTGTCGGTGGGGACCCAGTTCTGCAGTTCAGATTCCCCACCCTATTTACAAACGGTGCCAACTTCCGCTCCTCCCAGCTGGATGGTGCTGAGAACCGTTCCCAGCTCCCAGAACTGTGGTCCCAACCCTCTGCAGTTGGGTCCCGGGCCTTCCTGATGTTCTGAACTCCGAAGTTGCACTAAGCTGTATGCACTGATGTAGAGAAGGGTGCACAGGAGAGCTGGTGATGTGCTGGAGGGTGCGAGGCTCAGGAATTTTAAGCCTCTTGCTGCCCCTTTTCCTGCTCAGATCTGACCCACCTTGGCAGAGAAGCCAGGGCTGAGCACGGAAGCCCCTGTCACCAGGATGCAGGCGACCCCTTTATCCACAGACTCCCCACGCTGGGACCTCATTTCTGCCCAGACTCTCCCCGGCCTCCTCCGGGGCCCTGGTCACTGCCGTGTGTCCCTGCTCCTCGGCACTGTCCTTCCTTCCACAGGAGCTGCACCTGGTTGCCAGGGTAACCAGCTGTGCAGCGCAGGCCTCGGTCCTGACCTTCAAGTCCGCTTAGTGCACCCACATCCAGCCTTCTGTCTGGCTTTCTCCTGCTCTTGTCTTTTCTCTCTCGAGGCCTCGTGCTTGCTAAACACGTACTCTTCCACCGAGCTGCACCCTGAAGGCCTATCGTTTCTCCTTCACTGATGCTGTGACTTAATTGAGGACTCAGGATGTGACACTGCTCCCTGTCACAGCGATCCCCGTCAGCTTTTCACTCAACAGTCTCAGCCGGGGATAATCCCTGCCCAACTCATTTATGTCACCAGAGACCACAGAACAGTGTGTCTGAGTTTGTCACCCTCTCAGTGCTTATGAAACAGAATTCTTTTGTTAAAAAAACCCAATTTTTATCATCATCGATGGCAACTTGTGTACCCTGAAGTACTATAAAGGTTGGGTTCCGTTATTTCTTATTTGTTGCATTAGTTGCCAACTTTTCTGAGAAAGGGTTAGAGTCCTTGTTATGTCTACTTTTCGTCTTTTTTTTTGAGACAGGGTCTCACTACGTGGCTCAGGTTGGCCTCAAACTCACCGTGTAGCCCAGGCTGCCCTCACACTCATGGTGATCATCCCGTCTCAGCCTCCCGAGTGCTGGGATTACAGATGTGTGCCACCACATCTGACTCTTAGTTACTTCTAGTAGTGATCGATGTTCTTGATAACCGTGAATTCTCTTGTCTCTGCTCTTAACCAATTTAACTGTCTGTTGGTTGCTGCAAGGCACTGGTGTCAAAGTCTGAAACAGTCCCTCCCTGCCTGTATGTGGTTGTGAGTGGCTCATTTCATTTCTAGTTGCTTATTTATTTAGGTGCCAGAAATTGGGTCAAGGTTTTGGCACTGAGCTGCAGCCCAGTCCTTTTTATTTTGAGACACAGCCTTGCTCTGTTGCTAACTTGCCCAGACAAGGCTCAGACTCACTCCTGCCTCAGCCTCCTAGAGGGCTGGGAGGAGAGGTGAGCACCGTCACACCTGGGTCACTCTTGCACTTTCCAACCTCTCTTCATCTTTTCTTCTGCCTTGTCCGGCACCAGCCCTCTGACACCAGCTGCCTGTCCTGTGAGTCAGGGTGGACTCTAGCAACCTGGAATTGTGCAGACCCCCCAGACACAGGAGCCGGAGCTCCATCGGGCCTGTGCTTGCTTCAGACGCCAGCCACAAGGGGGAGCCCGGGCTACTTGCCCCTCTGTTTCATGTGGCTGCAGATTAGCATCTCCCGTGATGACCGTTTGAGTTTGATAACTCACTGGATGACTCACAGAACCTGGGAAAGAATTGCATCACCAATCACCATTTTATTAGACAAGATAGAAGTGAGTAACACACAAGAGATGCATGGAGTCCTGAGGGCAGCTTCGGTCTCCATGGAGACGGGATGCTGGAGAATCGCCAGCTTGGATGCTCCCAAACCTCGTCCTCCAGATGCCCTCGCTCTCCTTCTGTGGTAACTGGGGTCTCATCATCCAGCACAGCTGATTAAATCGTTGTGATTGCACTCAGTCTCTAACCCTTTCTCCTCCCTAGAGATTTTGGGGGCAAGACTGAAAGTCCCTCCCTTGAAACACCCCATGAGCCCTCTCCATCAGCTCATTAGTTTCCTCGAAGAGAGGGTCAGGAGAGGCTTGTTAGGGAGATAAAGAACACTTTGGCCAGGAAATGCCATGTGTTTTAATGCTCTGTGTCAGGAAGTATCAGGGCAGAAAGGCCAGGCAGATTCTTTGTTCTTATAGAAGCTGTGGAAATAAAACCATAAGTAGGGGCTTATGAGGTGAGAGCACCCAGGCCCCAAGTATCTCTGAAGCTAGAGGCCGAGGGAGGAGCCTTCAGGTGTGGCCGGAGGAGCCTGCTGAAGGGGGGCGGGCAGCAGGCTCATCTAGGGGAAGCAACCCTTGCCAAGCGAGCCTTGGGGGCCTGATGGTGAGAAGACAGTGGCTGTCTCCTGGCCGGGGACCTCCGCGTTGCAGGAGGAGGAGGGTTTGTGCACAGAAGGGAAGAAAAGAGGCAGGTGATGGAGGAGACAGAAGACTGTGAGAGCAAGCTCAGAGTGATGCCAAAGCCCAAGTGGGGGCTTCTTGGGGAGCACAGGGGGTTCCTTTGTAAGACTTACAGGAAAGGGGGGGGTCTGGAAAAATAGAGAATGGGGCACAGAAATTGGTGCCTGCAGCACCGGCGGACAGCAGATGCTGTTACAGGCACGTCCGTCACAGAGCGGGGCCTCCACCAAGGGCTTGCCATCTTGGCTTCCAGAAGGGTCCAAGAAGCGAGAGAAGAGGAGGCGGAACAGTGAGGGGATGGGGCTGGTCCTCCTTTGGGAGCTGATGCTTTGGGAGCAGCTGGCAGCAGACTCTGGGTGTTTCTTCTAGCGGCACCATCCCGGGAAATGACTTCACGGGAAATGACTTTGTACCGACAGCACCTCACTGACAACCGGGTGGATGCGGGCTCCACAGCTCCCCGGGGACTGCACGGCCTAGAGGGAAGCAGCATTCCCTAAGCCGTGATAGCTGCAGGGGAAAAGAGTGCAGCCCCCGCACCCCCAAATTGGGGGCTACATCTGGGAAGGAAATTACAGCCAGAGACCTTGTTTCAGGTGTTTTTCACCAGTGCAAGTCTTGATGAGTGAGCTGAGCCTATGCTTAGAGGTAGAGGGGTTTGTCTGAAGCCTAGATCACACCTGGGGGCATTTTCGCACCCCAGACTACATGTGACAATTCCTTGAGGTTTTTTTAATTGTTTAAAATTAGAGGTTGAAACCCAAAGTTTGAAGATTTGAGACAGGGTCTCACTAAGGTGAGCCAAATTTGTGATCATCTTCTAGCCTCAACCTCTCACTGAGACATCTGAATGGTGTCAGTTGGGTACAGCAGACAGGCAGAGCCTGGGATCAAAACCTTACTGTGCAGAACCCAGTACTGGACCAAAAAGGAAGCTGCTCTGCACCACGGAGCTGGAAGGCAACTCTTTATTACGCTGGTGGGCTGGGGGGTACCGCTTCCAAATCACCAGCCCCAAGTCAGGTCCAGGCTTTGTTTATATAGGTTTTGCAAGCAGGTAGTACATAAGCTGATAGTGAGTTAGTACATCGGTGGTTCCACAGGCTGGGTCATATACACAGGCCAGCAGCTTTGTTCTGGGCAGGTGTAGCTGGTGGGGGTTCTTGATCTTAAGGTACGAGAGCCCAAAGATGGGGTTGGGGCTGGTGAGGGGGATACAGTCAAGTGTGTCCTTGACTGGGCTGGTCTGTCTTTTGTAGAACAGGCTAGCAAAACAGAATATATTTTTAGGTGGGAACTCAGCCCAGGTGAATGTGGTCAAGCTGACCTGGGACTGTCTGTCTGTAAAAAGCAGCCGGATGCAGCTGGTCAAAGTGAACTGAGGCTGGTGATCTAACTGTGGTGGGTTGGGGGAGCATATCTTGTCTTACATGGAGTCACACTGCTAGCTAGCTTGCTGAAATTTTAAAATCTCCATTGCACTACCATGCAGGGGAGCCCCATTCTAGACAAAGAATCACTCGGCCACAAATGTCAAGAGTATTAAGGATGAGAAAGTCATTAGCACCACCGAAGCGGGGCACACCTGTCCCAGAGAAAGCACCACTTGCCTGGAATCTCCCCCCTCAGGATTGCTTATAACAGACTGGGGGAAGGGAGAGGTTGTGGAAGCCCCCGTCACTGAGCTGTTTTGATCTTTGTGGCTGAATTACTCAGTGTGGCAGCAGCAGGAGAAATTCTCTGACGCAGTCCTGCCACGAAGCTGTCTGCAGACGATGCCTCCTCTTACTGGAGCACACTTACTGGAACTTTCCATGGCTGCAGAACGCTGCCTTTGCCATCTCTGAAGCAGAGGGAGGAAAACCATGCCTTTGCTTCCCTGGCCAGAAAATGCCAGCACCAGCGGTCTCCACCACCCACGTCACCAGTGGGATCAGCGGGGTCCAAGATCACAGGCCTAGAGAGGTTAGAAGGAAACAGAGTTTCTTTCAAATTGATGGCTTCAGTGATCAAACAATGTGTCCTTCCCAAATATACTCTGTTTCAGAGTTTTGAAAGCTGTTACTTGGGAAATGGCATGTAACTGTGGCCTCTGCTGTCCCCTGAGATGCAAGCTATCTGTCATCAAATACAATGTTGCCAAGCAGGTCCCAGCCTGTGGCAGCCTCCCAGGGGGCTTGCCTTTTCATCTCTGTTCTCTCTATCCTCCTTTATAAGCTCTCTCCTTTCCTTCTCCTTCCATGATCTCTGTTCCCTGCTGGCAGTGCTCAGCACCTGTGCCAAGGTTCCTTACTATTCTTGAAGGTCTAAGAGGATAGATAAAATCTGACAAGCTAAGGGTGATACCAGCACTCCAGGAGGCTGAGTCAGGAGGATTGCAAGTTTAAACCCAACCTGGGCAACTTGGTATTTTAGCAAGAATCTGTCTAACAATAAAATATTTTTTAAAAAGGTCCGGGGATATAACTCAGTGTGAAGGCTCTGGGTTCAGTCTCCAGTACTGTAAGTTCCTGATTTACGAACATTTGAGTTGCAAACTTTCACAGATAGGAACAGACCTTGCATTACGCACATTCCTACGTGTGAACAAGTTGCAGAAGTAGCTGTAGTGTTTTAAGGTAACTGTGAAAGTAAAAATAGTCATTTACAGTATCTGTGCATGTGTGTGTGGATGCTTTACATTATATATTTTGTCAAGGGTACATGAGACGCACTTTGTTGGGTTTACGAATGAGTTCAATTTATGAACGTTCTCCTGGAACAGAACTCATCATAAGTTGGGGACTTACAGTACTGCCCAAACCAACACAAAACCTGATCTAATAAAGACATAATAATAAGCCAGCCCACGACGATAATAATGTTGTCTTTTCTTAGACCTACTAACAGATCCAAGCACATCCTTCTGACCTAGGTGACAAACTTAGGGACCGCGTGCCTCAGTGCCCCCTCTCTTCCCTCTGGACAGCACCTCCTCCTTCCCCTCGGGCTTGTCCCTGGAGACACTGAACGGCCCTGACCCCAGCTTCACGCCAGGCGTGGCTCAGCACCCAGGGAGGAGAAGCCTGGCCACCGAGCCAGTGTGGAAGGGAATCGGGCTCAGTCAGGATGGCGGGCTGGGGTCAGAGCACCTGGTCCTCTGGATCTGGGTCAGCAGGAACATCCTTGTCTTCTCCTCTTCGAAGTTGTAGTTGACGGTCCAGTAGATGCAGAGCTGCTGGTACTTTGTCACCAGCTCCAGGACCGTCCGGAACCCTTCAGCAATGCTGAAATCAGTCACCCCGCTGCCCTGCTCCCAGGCGTAGATGGTGAGCAGTTCGAGGGCATATTTGGGGGGCAGGGATCCCTTTGACTTCATTTTCCTTTCACACTGAGGAAAGAGTGGGGGATCAGATGGGGTCAGTAAGGGAGATGACCGGGGATGTACTGACCCTGTGCTCGCCGGCATTGTGAAAGACTCAGAAACCTGCGAGACAGCCAAAGCAGAGCAGGAGCTCCCCAGGGGGCGATGCTGGGACAGAGGCTGGCTTTGCGCTCACCTCTTCCTGTGAGCACAGTAACCCGCTGGCCTTACCTGTTTATACCAGTGCTTGACCAGACGAATCAAGCTCTTCAGTTTGGTGGGCCGGGAGCTAACGAAGTCACGCTGGAGCTCTGTGAAACAGACAGAAAACTCGCCGCCGATGACGTCTGAGGATCTGTACAGATCTATGAGCTCCGAGTAGGCCTGCAGGGTGGACTTGCTCTGACCTGGTGTGGGGGAGACATTTACATTGTGTCTCGGTACGCAGGGACATCCACAAGTTTCAAGATACTCCTGGAAGTGTCATTCAGTTCTGGGAATTGTGCTGGAACCAGACTGGTACAGTTGAATTTCTAAGATACGGAAATCATCCCCAGGGCAGTAAGATTTTTTTGTTTTGAAAAGCGAGGGTCTGCGTGAACACAGAAGCTGCCGTCAGAGTAGTTTGTGCCTGCGCTGTCTGACACGGTACCAGCACCTGGTACCGCCTGCTGGACGGAAATAAGGTTAAGATGGAGCTCCTCGGTGGACTGGTCATCTGTCACGCTCTCAGCAGATACGGAACAGAGACACACAAGATTTTCAGTGTCGCGCAAAGACTCCTCGGAGCCCAGCTCTCCAGCTGCAGCCCCGGGTCAAATCTGGTTCCGTGTTCTGGTCAATAAAGTCTTACTGGGGCACACCCCCCCCCCTTTTGTTAACGTGTTTACGGGCTTTTCAGTTTCATCCACGGGGATGAAAGAGTCCAGACAAACACCATGTGGACACTGGTGCCGAGAACATTCGCCATCTTCCCCTCTACCGAAAACATTTGCCGATTTTCATCGCATGCTATTGTTTCTTTTGTGAGGGGCACCGGGCAGAGGGAAGGGACTGGGGTCTTGGTGGCTGTGACTTAGAAATGCCTCTCAGGGCTGGGGATGCAGCTCAGAGGTGTAAGCACCTGACTGGCAATGCAGGGTCCTGAGCTCAAATTCTGGTATCAAAAAAAAAAAAGCTTCTCCATGGCTTTTCTTTCATGTGATGACCCCGTCACCCACACTGCATCTCTAAAGGGTGGTTTTGCTAAGATTCCAGCGAGCGCCCAGATTTCCTACATTTTTGCTTCCCACATCTGATCTTTCATTTCCGTCTCTCTACTTGCTGATTTTTCTCTACAACTTGGTACAGAGTTCTTCTGTCCCCCGTTATGACATACCACGGATGGCACTGGGGGGTGCGTCTAACAGGGGCCCCGGGTGCCATGGGACCCTTCACTGAGCTCTTGCACGGGTGCACGGTGTCAGCACCCTTATGGATGCTCCCACAGGGGCTCTGGACCCAGAGCAGGCTCGAGTTTGCCCCCACCCTTCCCTGAGCCCCGAGCTGCATCTCCCCCCCCCCCCCCCGCCAGAGCCAGGTCGGGGTGCCTCACCCAGCGCGTTATAGGCGGGCAGCACATCGAAGTCCACACTCTCATTGAGGTCTCTGGATCTCAGCGAGAAGCTTAGCACCCTGGGCGCCGCCCACTTGGAAATCTCAAACTTCACCTCCAACTCCCGCTGCCTCTGACAGGCCTCCAGCTGCCGGCGGATTTCCCGGACGATTTCGCTGCGGCAGGTTTTCTGGGAGGGGAAGCTCTTCAGCGAGCTCAGGAATACGACGATGTCGGCGTCAGAGCCCGTCTTCAGCGCCGTGCCCTTGGCGGTGGACCCTCCCTGGAGAGATGGGGATGTTGAGTCACAGCAGCTCGGGTCCCCAGTCCCCAGGGGCTGCACCACAGGGTGCACTAAGGAGGTTCCGGGGACAGGTGCTGCCCAGGCCTCACTTAGAGCTCAAGCTATTCCAAATGTTTCACTGCACCAACTCACAGACAACATGCAACATTCTCCCAGGGTGGGTGACAACATGCTTCGCCTTGTGTCCTTTTGACGCTAAGAGGCCATGGGCCAGGGGTACACGCTCTGCTCTGCAAGTCAGTTTCCTAAAGATTTTTCCTAAGGAAATCTGCTTTATTTGAATCTCCTTAACCTCAAACAAATCCAACTGACTGCCCTGAAAGTCTTCCTCTGTTGCCTGACGTAGTAGTCTGCGGAATACTAATTGGGGCACAGTGGTCCCAGATTGTCTAGGAAGGGCCAGATTGGACATGTTTTAGATGTCATGGGTCACGGAGGTCTGTGCTACACAGGCTTCTCCGCTGACCCCTTCCTCCTCCCGATGTCTGCAGAGCAAGTATGATGTAGGCCTGACTACGGGTGCGGGAGGGCGTGAGCGGAAGCCGGTCCCATTTCTGTGTACGCGTCCTCCGAGGTTCCTGTCCAGCCGTTTCATGCATGCAGCCCGCCTGTGAACACCACTGGGTGCTGTTGGCCTCTCCCTGGCTGACCCCTCTTTCTCCAGGGGGCCCCTTCCTCTCCTCAGCAGGAGAGCCCTTTCCTACTTGCAATGAACTGCACAAAGATAGGCAGTGATTTCTCAGCTGCCAGATGGCCCTCTTCCTCATCTCTGAAGTGCTGTGGCCTGTGTTACGGCTTAGATCTAGATGTTCCCCCGAAACCCCAAGAGCTCCTAGGCATGACCTTCTGGAAGGTAATTGGGTTCTGGGCTCAGGGCTGGCTGGAAGAGGGTCATGGAGGGCGTGGCTGGAAGGTTCCTTCCCCTCCCTGGCTCTCCTGTCCTTCTGTCTACTTCCTGGACACCGTGAGGTAAGCAGCTTTCTCCTGTCAGGCTCCTCTGTCCTGGCTTCTTGCCGGGGAGCCAACCAGTTATGGGCTAAAACCTCTACAAACTGCAAGCCAAATAAACCGCTCTTTCCTTAAAGTACAGCTTTGGGGTATTTTGTCCCAACAAGGAAAAAAGCGACTAAGATAGACCTTTTCTTTGTTTGCTATCCTGTTAGTGGGGTGTCAGGAAGGAGCGGAGAAAACACATGCACACAATTCTTTTCCGTCCTGCCCTTCCTGTGGTGCTGGGGTCAGAATCCAGGGCCTCGTGTGTGGGAGGCAAGCGCTCTACCTTTGAGCTAGAACACAGCCCTTTTCTTTCACTCTGAGGCAAGGTCTCGCTAAGTTGCCTGGGCTGAACATGGACTTGTGACCCTCTTGCCTCAGCCTCCTGAGCAGATGAGATTGTGCCTGATGTCTTTCCGGAATTATAATCCAGCTCATGAACTCAGTCTTGTTTTCACTACGATCCAGTTAGTGAGGCAGTGTACACGCCACTCATAGGATTCCACTGCTGTGTCCGGGACCTCATTCAGATCTGCACACAGATCTGCACTCGGCGTGCACATGGCTCCCGGCCACTGCACGTCAGATGTTTGTGCACACATGTGAACGCTATGCTCCCTTCTGTGACCTTCTTGTGTGTGGTGTGTGCGGATCTGAGTGTACAACCTCATCTAATCCGATGGCCACAGAGGATAGGGTGTCAGCGCTGGCCTTGGAGCCACGGACAACACTGACCCAGTGCTGAGACCGTGGCTCGGTTGATGGGCTGCACTGGGCCCCCTCACAGGAAGACAGGGATTCCTTTTCTGCTTGAAGGCACGCTCAGCTTAGGCTAAACGGTGACCCCCAAGAGGTAAGTCTGCTGGGAGCTCTAAAAGGTTTCTGTCCTGATATAAATCGCTGAATATCATGGCGGTAGTCTAGCATGGCGGAAGACCAGTGCAAAAATACACTTTCCCTGATGGCCACGTCCTCCTCCTCCCCGCTCAGCCCTGAGTGCAACGTCTTCTTTCCCGTCCACACGTGTGAAGAAAACTCCAATCAGTCCCTCACACATCATTACTGCTCCTCTGGCCAGAGGTCACTTAACCTTCTGCCCGGTTCCTTCTGGCCAGAGGACAAAGCCCAGCCCCATAAGTTGTGCACGCCTCTCCTCCTCAATAAAGGCTTTCTTCTTCTCTCTATTTGCCTCTCAAGTATGCATAAAAAAGCCTAATGAATTCATGAATGTGACCTCCAATGGTAAGAGAGTCTTAGCAGATATAATTAAGTTAAGGATCTCGAGATCTTCCTGGTTTAAGGTGGGGCCTGGAATCTAATGAAAAGTGTCCTTATATTATAGACAGCTAAGTTATTTAGAAATATTGTAGGCAGCCTGGCCGTAGTGGCTCACGCCTGTAATCCCTGCACACAGGAGGCTGAGGCAGGAGGATCCTTGCAAGTTTGAGACCAGCCTGGGCTACACTGTGCCAGCCTGAACTGCATAGTGAGATCCTGCCTCAAAAAAAAAAAAAAAAATACTGTGCGCAGTCAGACAGAGGTGGACCCTGAGAGGTCACACTGCAGAAGACAACTGTGGGGAGGAGGAACACTCCCTGAAGGCCAGGCTTCAAGGAAAGAGGACCTCCCCCTGCCCCACGTCTGCTTCCCCTAGGGATGGACAGCAGTGACTGAAGGTCTAAATAGACACCTGGCATCCTGGGGTGGGGACCAAACCTCGCTAACCCACCCGCTCCAGGAAAGTCCTTGTCAGACCCATGCAGGCTTGCTCTGAGACTCGCTTCCCCATTGGAGCCCCATCTAATCAATATTACCCAAGCAACCTACTTGCTGTAATCTTATTGGCTCATCACAGTTTTGCCCCACCTCACACCCACGCTGTGACTTCCCATTGGCTCAATCTTACCTAGCTGACTATGCTTGTAATCTTATTAGTTAACTATAGTTTGTCCCACCTTGAACCCCCCTCACCTTATGGCTTTGCTCAATAAAACACCCTTGAGAAGACGGGTTGGTTGGTAACCCACTTTCCAGGCCCCTCTCTGTGCCTCTTAGAAGCTTTCTTTCTCTCAGTAAATTCTTCCCACGCTTAACCTCTGTTGCTCCTACAATTCATTCTTTGGTTTTACGGAAAATGGACCCGGTGTTTTAGACACCTACCAGGTTGGAATTATAACTTTTCCCTTATATGATTTGTATTATTTGGTGGCCATGTCACAGGAGAAAAGAGGAGAAAGATTCAGTCTTGAACTCAGTCTCGTTTTCACTACAAAGGAGAAGGATTCGAAGACAGAGGTAGAGATTGGAAAGAGGCATCAAGGTGCCCTGCGGCAGGGGGAGGCCAGCAGCCCAGGGAGTAAGTAGGTCGTTATGGACAGACATGGCCCACGCATAGCCCCCAGACTGGTGTCCTCGCCACCTTGATTTCAAGTTCCCCTTCCTCAGGGTTCTGGTGGCAGCTGCCCACTCCCCTACGCAGCCTTGGGGAGAAGGGTGGCAGCCTTGGGGAGAAGGGTGACGCTCACCTTGATGGTGCTTTGCACTTTGCTAGCTGAGTTCAGGAAGCAGTTTTCTCTGAGGAAGGAACAGATGATGTCCACGGCTTTCCGGACCTGCTCGAGGAAATCTTTGTTCGGCTGGAGAAAGTCCTGGATGAATTTGTCCAGCAGATGGCCCGGGGTCATGAAGAGAGGCGTTGGCTGGGGAAGGACACAGAAGCCGTGAGCCTCCCTCAAGCCCTCAGGGTCTCCTCCAGGCCTGCCCTGGGCCCTCTGCCAGCCTCCTCCTGAGCCCCAGCCGTGGGGCAGACAGCTCTTCCAGCCATAGTCCTTACAGCAACAGAGCCCAAGAGAAGCCTGAGGTTAGGGTGGTATCCATGGCCCCCCAAAATGAAAACCTCTGACTCCTCTCTTCGCTGCCCAGAGGAGACTTGAATGCTTGTCCTGGCAGGCTTGCAAGGCCCAGCCATAGGGAAGTGGCCCTGGATGGCCCTGGTGTCTCCCTGGGTCAGGAGGCTTCCAGTGGGAGGAAGGAGATGACGTGGGGGTGGAAGTGGGAGACAGACTGGGGTGATGCTGCCTCTGACTTCAGGACTGGAGGATGGTGCTGCAAGCCAGGGGCTGTAGGCAGCCTCAGGAAGTCAGAAGAGGCAGACACAGCCTCCCAGGACCAGAATGGTAAGATGATACATTCAGTGCTTTTTTGTACAGTGATGTGAGGAGGTAAATGCACAGTTGTGGGCAGATGCTGTCTCCTCACTGGTGAAAAGAAAAGGTGGCTCAGCTCACTGGGGGTGTGGAGACCCCCACCTTGACAGCCAAAGGGTGACCTTGGTGACCCCCAGATGTTGGAAGTGGACCTCATAGTTACTGAGGGTGATGAGGCCCCCACACAGGGCAGACCATGCAGGGTGTGTGTGTGTGCACGTGTGTATATGTGTGTCAGAACACTTGGTGTGCATATGTGAGTATGCATGTGTGTGCACATACATGTGTGGGAGTATACACACACACGCATGTGAAAGAGTATGCATGGTATGTGCACGAATGCATGTGGGAGTGAGTGTGTGAACATGCAGGTGTGCATGAGTGCATGCATGTGTGTACATGTGTGAAAATGAACGTGTGTGCACACGCATGTGCATGTGGGCGTTCCAGGGCTCACAGTGCCTGTGCAGTGGTTCCTGGGCTTGGATGGTCTTGGAGGCCTGGCACAGAGATCGCAGAGCACAAATGACCACAGCAGGCATTAAAAGATGACGCAGGAGAGGAGAGACACAAGGATCGGATGCCATGTGCGCTTCTGGGCTGGAGAAGGCTGTCCCAAGAGATCCGGCTCTGGCTTGGCCATCAGACGTCCCACAGGGTCTCACGTTGTGGGTGTGGCCTGGGCCCTGGGGGCGGGGCCTGGAAGCTGTGTTCCTGTTCTGGCTCCTCCCCCTCTCTCTGCTTCATGCGTGAGCCTGTCTTTATCGCCCTCTGCAGGTTACTATCACCCTAGTGGGAAGGCCAGGTCCTTGCTTTAGGCGTCCTGACCTGCTGCACCCGTGACTGGAATCTTATCTGAAGACAAGTCAGGCTCAGCTGAGTCCTTAGTGCGAGCCTAACCCAGTCTACTGGTGTAGGAGGAGAGAGAGGCCAAGGCAGACACGCAGGGGGAAGAGGACGCGGAGTCCAGGGAGGACTGGAGACCAGGCACAGAGGCTGGAGTGCCGAGGACACAGGCTGAGGAACCCAGTAGCCGCGAGGCTGGAATCCCCTGCCGCCTCGGAGGCGGTGTGGCAGGGCCAGAACCGTGGGAGGGTACAGTCTCACCCCACCCCACCCCAGGAAACCAGTGGGTGGGACTTCGTGGGGGTGTTGGGCATGATGTCCCTGCCAAATGGGACGGGGACGCCCTTACCAGGACACTCCAGGCCGGGGTGGGGCCCAGCGAAGACAGCCAGTGCCGTGCATCTGCCTGCAGCGGCAGCTGTGGGACGTTTCTGCTCAGGTTGTGGGTTAGATCCACCGGGTCCAGGATGACCGGCCTAGGAATCCACCAGTCAGGAGGTCAGCAGAGCTGCTCACAGAATTAATTTTGGGGAAGGAAGGATCTCGGATGACACCGAGCCCCCTGGATTTTGATTTCTGCTGGCCCTTTCCGCTGCCGCGGTGGTCTGTGTGACCACCACTTCTCTGGCCCTGCCTGCTCTGTTTTTCAGAGGTGAACCACTCATCTGGCGACCAGCACTTGTAATGCCAGCCCTCTGGGAGGCTGAGGCAGGAGGGTTACAAGTGTGAGCACAATCTGGGCGTTTGGTGCTTAGCAAGGCTTTGGGTTGTAGCTCAGTGTGAACGCCCTGGGTTCAATCAACAGGCACCCCAAGAAAATAAAAGAGGGAGAGATGCCCTGGGCCATTAACAAGTCACAGAGGAGTCTCCTCCGCCTGCTAGCGCTTGTCTCTCCCAGCCTCTGCCTTCTAGAACACTTCTGCTGTGTTTGTTTAGAGTACAAAATGGGACCCTGAGTCGCAGGATGAAAGTGCTGGCCTCCGCCCTCCCAAGCACCATGTGCCAGTTTGAGTTTCTGCTTCCTTGGCTGGGCGGGGCTAGGCAGAGACCTCATTCCCGGGGTGCACCCTGCTGTGGTACAGCACCCCGGCTGGGGGTGGGAGCTTGGTACCTCTGGGAGCACAGCTGGCATAGGAGCCTGTTCCTGACGGTCTCGTCCTCCAGGTCATAGTTCACGGTCCAGTAGATGCACAGCTGTGACCACTGCAGGATCAGCCCCAGCACGGCCCTGACGCCTGCTGCGATGTCAAAATCCTCGGCCCCGCAGCCCTGCTCCCAGACGTACACGGCCAGCAGCTCCAGAACGTAGGTGGACAGTGACACACCAGACGGCCACTTCTTCTGGCACTGTGGAGAAGACAAGGGTGGCCCCGATGAGGAGGCCCAGGTCCCCCTGAGTCAGGGGGCCGAAACTGGGAAACCGGAAAGTCTAAGAAGCTGCTGTGACCCGCCGAAGGACAGAGAGTGCCCCAGGGGCGCAGAGCGCTGAGCCTCTCTTGTTACCCATGGGAGTGTGGCTTGGAACAGCCACAGGCTGACTATAATCGTCCCAGTCCCTTTCCCACTGCAGAGACAACACCTGACACCCACAAGTCAAAGGAGGAAAGGGTTATTTAGCTCACAGTTTGAGAGGCGTCAGTCCGTGATTGACTGGCTCAAAGGCAGAGTAATTTGGCAGAGGGGCGTCACAGAGAAAAGTTCCCGACACCCACAAGGTAGCAGAAGCAATAAGGGACCTTAGCAGTGTCTTTCTGCCTCTTGGATTGTACCCAGGCTGCCGGGGTTAGGGCAGAGCTAAACCAGTCAGGAGACCGAGTTAGAAATCGCCCTACCCCAGCATCGCACCGGGAATCAATCAGGCACTCTAGATCCGGCTGCCGCTGCAAAAGCCCCCCCAAGAGTGCGTGAGGCTCGGGGGGACCTCTAGACACAGCCATGATGGTAACTTATATGAAATAAACCTGACACAGAAACTTAAATAGTGCATGGTTTCTCTTATGTGAAAAATCCAAAGAGCAAAATACAAGACAAATCTTTTGTGAAAGGTAAGGGGACCAGAAACAGAGGAGGGAAGGAGGAAGGAGGGACGGAGAGGAAAGAGATGCAAAGGGAGCTGGCCGGCATTTTGTGCACGCACCAGCTCTACACAATGCATGCAAGCATTGAGGCCTGCAAACGTAAAATAAAAATAAAACTCAAAACCCAGTACGATTTGATAAAACTCAAAACCCGGTACGATTTGATAAAAATAAGAACCAGTAAAAATTGCTTAAATTAATAAAAACTTTTATCAACTGAAATAGTTAAATACGTGTCTTGCATATGTGTGTTGCGTGGGCCCACATAGGTGTACATACACACACACATGTGAGCGTGGCGAGGCTGTGTGCTACGGTTTGTGTCTAGATGGAATTTGTCTCAGCAACAAGGAAAGTAGCTAAGACACCAGGTACATAACACACACATCTGCATGTGCCTTAGCGCCCAGAAATTTTACCCCTGCATATTCACCCAAGAGCAATACAGGCTTAAACTCACAAAGGACCCTGAGCAAACAATCACAGTAACCTCGTTCCTAACAGCCTCGATTTGGGAAGGAGCTGGCATCCATGGGCATGATGGTGCCCATCTGTAACCCCAGCACTTGGGAGGCTGAGGCAGGAGGGTCGCTGCGTGATGGAGGCCAGCCTGGGCTACAAAGTGAGTTCAAGGCCAGCCTGAACTGCACAGTGACACAGTGCCTCAAAAAAAAAAGAAAGAAAAGAAAAAGAAAAAGAAACGCATGGTACATTGATATAACACGACCTAAAACATGAAAAACTAGTTCTACACGAAGCAATGTAGCTGAGTCTCACAGACAGAATACTGAGCCACGGGAGACGATCTGTGTATGGTAGGATTCTCGCGGCGGGGCTTAAAAGGAAGGTAGACTTGGGGTGTAGCTCAGTGGTTGAGCACTCGCCTGGCACGCGCGAGGCCCTGAGATCAGATCCAAGCTCCAGAAACAGTGTAGGTGCCGCCGAGGCTGGAGGCTGATCACGCGTGCAGGGGAGGCGAGGCCTGTCCCCAGCAGCTCTGAACAGCGGGCTGCTAGGCAAAAAAGGCTGTCACGTGACAGCGAGCTGCCAAATGTATAAATAAAGGCGCTGCGGAGGTTGGGGAGAGGCTGGGAGCAGCCTCCGGAGCCAGGTCTCATTTCCTGTTGTCACAGACGCAGAGCGCGTGAGCTGTGGGTTTAAGGCTGCTGAGCTCTCCAGGTTATCATTATATCAGCTAAGGGAAGCAACAGGTGACCTGCAAATTACCTGCTGATACCAGCGCTTCAGCAGGAGGATCAGATCCTTCACTTTGCGGGGGAACTTATCAAAAAACTGCTGCTCGAGTCTGGTGAGGCACACAGCGAACGTTCCCGGAGCGGCCTTGGTCTCATCCGTGGATCTGATGAGTTCCCGGTACAGCCAGGGGGAGGGAGTCTGGCTTTCACCTGACAGAGAGGGGACAGGGAGACCCATGGGTTCAGGGCCCTGGGCTCAGGGAGTGCGCGTGGGTCAGCGAGGAAGGTCAGGGCCGGGTGGGCAGCACCGCTTGACCCGTGAGAGGCTGCCCTGCAGGACCCCGTCCGATGGCACACACACCTGTGACCCTGGCACTCAGGAGGCTGAAACAGGAGGGTCCAGGCATCCTGGGCAACCAGTGAGGCCTTGTCTTTAAAGCATCTTGAGATTTTTCAATATATAAATCAGTAAGATGACTGTCACGGAGATGGTATGGTACTGACCCAAGACGAGACCCCCAGACCGAAGAGAGGGATGAGAAATGCAGCCAGAAACGGGACAGCAGTTCCTCCAGAGGAGCATCAAGGGCACCAGGAGAAGAAGAGGAAGCGCGGTGTCACCCAGGACAGGCTGTGCAGCTGAGTGCCTCGGTGAGGTTTCTATGGGGTCAGGTACAGGGACCCGGGGAGGCTGGGCAGGCGCAGGCAGGTCCCGGAGGCCGGTGACAAAAGCCAGTTTTATGAGTGAAGCCTTTTCTCTCTTGAGACAGAGGCTTGTGGGCTCCCTGTCCACCGGGGGCTTTCGGCCTGGCTCCCAGGAATCTCTCATCTGCTGTGCCAAACTGACAGAGGAGGAGACAGCTGGCTGTCAAAGGAGCAGGCGCCTGGTTCCTTGAGCAGAAGAGCCCGGGAAAAGAGCGAGATGCCAACGACAGAGAAAGAGACTGAGCTGAAGGAGGCCTGTGGAATGTGGTGGAAAAGACAGGCCAGGTTAGCCAGGCTCACCTCTAGTAAAGAAAGCAATGTATCCCCTGCCCGGAGACAACTCTACCACCACCTGGTGGTCACACGTGGGAAGTGCATTTCTGGCTCTCACATCACCTTGGCGTGACTGCGAGAGCCCAGCAGAGGGCGCTCTGGCCTCGTTTTCAACCACGGTGCTTCCAGGGACCCGAGAGCAGGCCGCACTCCCTGGAGGACCCGGAGCCTCGCGGGTCTGCGCCCTACTGCAGCCCGGCGTCGAGCAGGCGCATGCGCACGGTGTTTAGCAGCCCCAGGGACGCTGACTCAGGGTTTAAAGTCTGATCCTACTGTTGGCGGCTGAGTGCGACCAGGATAAGAATGCAGGGCGACCCACCTGCCCTGCTGACGCATGGTTCTCGGATCCGGGTGTCTCTGACGCTTTGGGCTAACTGTTCTAACTCAGAAATTTCCTGACACTGTGGAGGATGGAAAGTGCCCTGGCCTGGAGCTTTCTCCTACTTCTGCCTTAACTGGCCACGCTGCCCTGTCACGTCTGGTTTCCCACTTAAGGAGAGGTTGAGTGTTTATCCTTTAGGTCTGTGAATATATGTACTTTTGTGCTTCGCACTTAAGCTGTGACTATGCTGAGTCTTATGCACCCATGTGTATCCATCATGTATTTACGCATCCACTCACATTATTTACCCATCGTCAGCTGACTGATGGATCCATCCATCCATCCACATCAGCCCACCCATCCATTTACCCATCAGCCACCCATCCACACGTCTACCCAGTGAACCGCCCCCTGTCCACCCATCTTTCCATTTCCAAACTCATCCACCATTCATTTTCATTTTTGTATCCATCCACCCTCACTCTATCCACATCTATGAATCTATCCATTTCTTTCCACACATGCAGTGAACCATTTATCCATTAATCCATGATCCATTCACCTATTTTCCATCTAGCTATCCAGCAGTCCATCCGTGCATCTGTCCATCCAGCAACTATTACCGACAGCAAACACTCAGAGGAGGCCAGAGAACAGTATGACCATGGCACCGTCCTCCCGGAGCTCAGGGCTGGGCCAGGAGAGAGCTGAAAGAGTCACCTTGTGTCCCTGAGGTATCTCATGGTCACGGAAGCACAGCTTCCTATCCAGCACAGAGGACGTGGGTCTAACCCAGATGGAGGAGGCCAGAGGACATACCCAGGCTGGAACCCTCCACAAGGAAAGGCTGAAAAAGAGCGTTCAGGACAGAAGAGCCCGGGCACAGCCTGGCACCAAGTGAACAATGAGGGGGCCGAGGAGCGCGGTGGCATTCAGCACGGTGCTGAGCGCAGGCCAGAGAGGCAGGTCCCCGGCCTTCGGAAGCTGCCGCCCTGTGACCGTGACCTGGGTGGGAGGCTGATTTCCCGGCGCACCCCGTTCCTTCTCCTCTCCTTCTCTTCTCCCGGGTGCTCAGCTGTGGCCAGGCCCCAGCAGCCGTGGCGGGCGCAGAGCTGAGCGGCACCCCACCAGCTCCGGGAAGCCCACGCGTGGCTGGAAAGCCCCGTTCTAGATTCGGGAAGCCGCTGGGGGCTCTGCACCCCTCGGCCTCGGGCTCGCATCCCGGGAGGCTTCAGGACTGTGCCTCCTCCCAGAGGCCACCGGCACCGTCTGGGCTGTCCTCACCCCAGGAACACTCACCCAGGGCGTTGAAGGCGGTCTGCACCTTGAAGGTGACCTTCTGCTCCCTCGTCAGCACCGTGAATGTGGTCCCAAAGGTCTCGCACTCAAGCAGCTTGCTGTAGCTTCTCAAACTGCCCGTCAGCTGGTGCACGATCTCTTCGAGGGTTTTGTGCTGAGGTTTCATCTGATCGCGGAACTGTTGTAATTCATCCAGGAAGAAGACGAGGGTGCCGTCAGAGTCGCCTTTCAACATTGTCTTCCTGCCGAAGGAGCCACCCTGCAGGTAAAAGAATAGCAGATACGAGACTCGACCCTTTCAAATTCAATTACAGGGGGCTCCAGCAGCCGGTAACATTCCTCAAGTGAAAGCCAAAAAATGTTGCCATCATCCTAAAGTTGAGAGGTCAGTGTCCCTTTGTCCACCCAGAGGCCCAGTGGTTGTGCTCATAGCAGTGTTGTACACACTAGTCCCAAACTGGAGGCAACTCAAATGGCCATTGGCTCTGAGGCAGACAAATGTGGTTTATCATGCTATGAAATACTATACAGCAAGTAAAAAGGATGCCCACTTACACAATAACATCAATTTCATGAATGTGGTGGGTGAAAGCAGCCATTTACCAAAGTGTACACAGGGCATGATGTCATGTCTATAGGGTGACCCCCTTGTCCTGGTTTACCTAGGACATTCCAGCCCTTTGCAATGAAAGTCCCACATTCTAGGAAAAACCTTAGTCCTGGGTAACCTGGGATGGCTGACCACCTGACAGCTATATAAAGTTTAAAAACAGGCATAGTTGATCTGCACTGACAGAAGGTGGGAAAGAGGATGCCTGGGGTCAGGGGTGCTGATTGGATGGGGGCCAGGGCCCTCAAGTTGGGGTTGGGAACTATTTTTGCTGTCATTGTTGCTTTCAGACAGTTGCTGCGTAGCCCAGGCTGGCCTCGGCCTCCTGAGTGCTGGGGTCACTGGCAGGCAGCACGGTGCCCCGTATAGGAAAGGTGTTACTGTTGACGGGCAGGCTCCCTAGTGTCAGGCACGCATGGCCTGAGGCAGAGACCCGACATGAGCTCTGACATGAGTCTAAATAAGTGAACTCACCTCAGCTTTGGGGCCAGAGGCCACCAACTGTCCGGCTGTCTCAAAGCCTGGGCAGTGGATATGCCAAGGCCAAGGCCACAGGGTTACAGGACTGCAGGGAAGGGGACAGGGGGTGGCACCGTGGCCTGAATATGTCCTGCTGTCTGCTGCCTGCAGCTGCCCCAGGGTCAGAGGGGTTCTGGGTCTGGCGGTGTGGCCAGGTGGGGCCACCTTGGCCTGTCGGGGACACTGTGCCCAGGAACCCTCTCTTCTTTGTAAAGTGGGCTGCCCCAGGTACTCTGTACAGCAGCAGTCAGGACGGGCGCAGCAGAGCTGGAGGCCTGGCGCCTGGCCTGCATCCCCTCCCCACCCGCCAGACCTGCAGCCCAGCCCTGTCCTCTCCTCGCTCTTGAGGCCACCTTGGGTCACTTACTAAGTTCCTCCAGCCTCAGTTTACCCTCTCGTACTGGAGTGGGATGGACAGAAACAACCCTGAGTGCTTACTGAGTGCCACTGGGTGTGAAGAGTGTCAGTGCTGAAGCCTCCAATCCCACTTTACAGACTGACAGGCTGAGGCCCGGAGAGGTTAAGCAGCTTGCCTGGGTCACACAGCCCGGCAGGGAAGAGCCTGGCCCTGCCCCATCTCCCTCCATCTCCCCGAGGTCCAGCCCAGGACATGGCGCGTAGTAGGTGTTTGACGGGGCTCCCCTGGCTCCCCACGACCTCCCAGCCCCGACTCACCACTGCCACACCCTGCAACCTGGGGTCGTGGTTTCTCAGCAGGACGGTGCAGACGTGATCCACCGCGTCCCAGATCTGCTGCTCACAGCTTTCCTGGGGCCGCAGCTGCTGCTGGACGAAGGTGCCCAGCTCCTGAGCCGGCAGTGAGGACACTAGGGATTCCCAGTTTCCCATTTCTTGCTGGTGGCTGGGGCGCCTGGCAGCGGCAGCGCTTGAGATCTGTCCTGGAGCCGGGGACTGCTCTGTCCTGGCTGAGCGGCTGCAGCCCCAGATTCCGGGAAACGAAAGTCAGACTGCCGGCCCTCGCCCCACCCCGCCCCGCACGCACGTGGCCGGCCCTGCGGGGGGAGCTGGAAACCGAAACTGCGGCTCCAGGTGTCCGCCCGCCCGCCCACTGCCCCCTGGGCCCCGGGAGTCCCCTGGCTCCACCTGCAGCCGCCAGGGCCGGGGCAGGGTGAGTCCTCCAGCACGTGACCACCCTGCAGTGCCTCGATGTCCCCACCTGTCCAGCGGGGAGACAGTGCCTTTCTCGGTGTGAACATGAAGTGACATCCATGAAGCAGCCCGGCCGGGGTGTGTCCCTCGTGTGGCCCAGGCTCAGCCGGAGGAGGGGTGGACTCCTAAGCAGGGGCAGGGGCAGGGCCAGCCCCGGGAGGGCAGCCGGAGCCCAGACCCACAGCGGGGCGGATTTGCCCGAGGCTGCACAGCCAGGCAGGGCCACCCCACTCAGGTTCCCGTCTGCCTCCGGGTGTGAGCTCGGAGCCCTGCACCCGCCCTGCCCGGGGGAGGCCCAGGGAGGCCGAGACACCCACTCCGCTCGCCCAGCCGCGCTCTCCAGCAGGGCTGCCTCTGACTGCAGCGTGGCTCGAGTCTGAAGCCCACACGTTATGTGTTCTTTAAAAAACATTTTATTTTAAAATGATTCAACATGGCAAGAAATGTGTACAGTGATGACAGAGAAGCCCTCACATTCTTCTGGAGCCCGAATAGCTCACGTCCGCCCCTTAACCTTCCCACGAGCTGCACTGATGAGACTTCTGAATGCATGGTGCGGATCATTCCAGGTCCCCGTACTCTGAAATGTGTCAGCCTATGTCCCCTGAGGACAGGATGCCTTGTTACACAAACACAGAGCACGCATCCAAACCCAGGCATCCACCCTGACCTTATCATAGGTGAGGCGAATGCAACCTTGTGTAGGAATTCCACCAGCTGGTACAGTGCATTTTCTCCCAGTCTGGGATTACATCTTTTATTGGTTATCAGGGATGAGTTCTTGGGAAGCCCACTGGGAAAAGTCACTGGGGAGTGCCCCCAGTGTGCAGCCTACGTGCCCACCAGTGGGTGAACAGATAGCCAGTGCTGGTCTGGCCACACAATGGAATATTACTTGGCAATGAAAAGGAATGGAGCACCGGCCCCAGCACTGTCCACTGTGAGGTGTGGTGGCAGCGGCAGCAGCACCGTGGCCTCTGATTAGGCTCTAGTGGCCTAATATTTGAACCAGCCCAGCAGTGGCTGCTGCCTTCTGTGCCCCTGGTAAAACCCTTTCCTGTGTCCAGTGCTTTCTGTGTCCTGGGCAAAACCCTGGCTACTGAGGACACTGTTGTTGGGTATGAGACCAGAGGCGGCCCCTGCCTGGACCTGATGGGTCTGCCCAGTGGATCTGCAGAGAGGAGCCAGCTCAGCACTCGTGACTGGGCTTTGAACAGCTCAGGGGGACAGAAGCTGAGTGGTGACATTCCAGCAAATTAGGGTGTGGGGGTGCCCACCCATAATCCCAGCACTCTGGGAGGTGGAGGCAGGAGGCCCACAAGCTCAAGTCCAGGCTGGGCAATTAGAAGAACCTGACTCAAAAAAAATCAAAAGGGCTGAAGATGTAGCTCAGTGCCAAGGGCCTGGGTTCAAATCCCAGTGCCACCAAAAAACAAAACAAAACAAAAGGCTGTGGCACAAAGAGTGTACACTAGGGGACAAGTTATGTGGAGAAAGTCCTCATAATGTCCATCTGCAGCAGACACAGTCAGCCAATCCCATCATGCTCTGCTCCAGGCATCTGAGCTCTGGGACCTTGATGGCCCTGGCACGTACTGGCCAGTGAGATCTTTTGTGTCCAGTTCAGAAAATGCAAATCAAGCATAGCACTTGTATCCCAGGTTCTTATGCTCCGTCCAGGGCAGACATCACTAGCTGATTTGGTTGTTCTTCTAAGCCAAAGGTCTTTCTAGAGAATCCTTAAGAACACAGAGCTCCAGGCAACCTGTGTCACTAATTGTGGCTGACAAATGGGTAGAGACGCTTTGCCATTCCTGATAAAAGTGCTCGGATTTGGGAAAAGCAGAAGCCACTAGGACAGACAGATTGTCGGGAGGAGGGAGGCACTCTATGCAGCAGCACAGGTAGGAGAGAGCCCAGGGATGGTGGGTAAGCTGGAAATGCGGCGGCCAGGCCTGGGGCTTAGGGATGCCCAGTGCCCAGGCACACATTGCAGGGCAGGGACAGACAAGAAGCCATATGTGGCCACTTCCCTATTCTGCATCTAGGCAGACATTGCTAACGGATCACAGAATGGCCGCTTCTCCTCCTGCAGAGTCAGATGGGGAGAGGGAGGGGCAGGCAGAGCCTGTCTGCAACAAGGTGGTGCTGAGCTGGGGAGGGTGGTGTGGACACACACGTGCACACACACGGGCACAGCTGGAGGGCGTCCTGGGCCTCCCCTCGCCAAGGGTTGCCGTCCATTCTCCGTCCACACAAGGTGACTTCTGACTTCCTGGACCTCACATGGCGGCCTGGAGGAGGTGTTAGAGGAGACATCAGTCACCCCAGCCTTCCTGTAGGGGCTGAGCCCACATGACAAGCTGGGAAACTGAGGCACAGTGTCACTGTTGGGCCACGACCAAGGGCGCCCCATATCCTTACCCTCACAGGCCATGGCTGGATAGGGGCACCGTCTATGCCCATGCAGCACAGGGCCTTTGCACAGGCTGCTGCTTCCTGGGCGAGCAGGTCCCAGCGGGCATTGAGGCCCAGGTTCCCTGTCGGGTCAGCAGGGTCCAGGATGATGGGCCTACGATTCAATTCCACCCCATCAGTCCTCCTGCGACACCAGCTATCCACCTGGGACTGTTCCCCACCCTCACCTGACACTCTGCAGGAGCCGGGGTCTGGGCTCAGAGACTCCTCAGTGCCCCAGGCCCACACACTAGGGCAGCGATATAAAGTAGCTACAGACGGCCATGGTCCCATTCTGCACCCGGGCAGACATTACTAATCTATCACAGTACTATTGCTTCCTCTTCACAGGTACCCAGGCACTGATAATCAATCACTGGTCAGTCACTTTCCCTTCCTGCAGCCAGGCAGACGCCACTAATGGATTAGGCTGCTCCTTTAAGCAGATGCAAATCACCGCATCAGTCTTTTTCAACACCTCTCTATGTGGCCTGCTGGTTGGAGATGTATCATGAGCTTTGGAAACCATCTCCAGTATCTCTGCATGTGTTTCAGAGGCAGGCAGAATCCCACAGCCTGGGACAAGCTTCAGTATGTGCTGGGTCCACTGGCAGGGGCGCCAGAGTGCATAAATACAAACATAGGGCGCCCAGGGAGACTGAGCTTCAAGTAAAGAGTGAAAGCATATTTTGAAAAGCCTAAGTATGTCCCAGTGTACATTGAAGTTATTCATCGTTTGCTGAAACTCAACTGAGTGTGGGGTCCTGCATTTCAGCTGGAAGCCCCGTGTCAGGTGACCAGCGCACTGAGCGCTTGGCGCCTGGTTCCCCAAAACACCACTTCCAGAAAGGAGCCATTTCGGCCCTGCGACCCCGGCTCTGCGGTGTGGGGAGCACTTGGACCTGGGCTTTTGAAGCTGCCGCTCCAAGAATTCTCCCACAATCTTGTCCTCTGCGCTGTAGTTGACGGTCCAGTAGACGCAGAGCTGGCGGTACTGGGTGACCAGCTCCAGGACGGTGCGGAAGCCCTGGGCCATGCTGAACTGGGGGTCCCGCCCGCCCTGCTCCCAGGCATACACGGTGAGGAGCTCCAGCCCGTGCTGGGGGGGCAGGGAACCCCGGCCCTTGGGCATCTTCTTGCTCTGGGACAGGAGAAAGGAGATGCACTGATCTACCTTAGCAACACTGAGTTGCAGGAGGGCCTCTTCTGGACAAGGCCAATGACCCTGACTTTTATCGAGACCTCCAGGTGCCCTCTGGCTTCTGAGGCATCACCCTCCCTGATCGGCACGGTTATATGGTTCCCATTTTGTGGATAAGAGCACTGAAGTCTTGCCTATAATCCCAGCACTTGGGAGGCTGAGGCAGGAGGACTGCTGTGAGTTCAAGGCCAGCCTGAGCTACACAGTGAGCTCAAGCCCAGCCTGAACTGCATAGCCAGACTGTGTCTCAAACACACACACACACACACACACACACACACACACACACACACACACGGAGCACTGTCCTAGTTCTGGGACCTTGCTCTGCTCAGCTACTCGGGGGTTCCGGGGGTGGCTGAGCCCTGCCTGGCCCTGGGAAGCCCAGGGGACGCCGAACCGAACCTGGACCTCCTGGTACCAGTGCTTGACCAGCCGGATCAGGCTCTTCAGCTTGGTGGGCCGCGAAACGATGAAGTCGCGCTGGAGCTCCGTGAAGCAGGTGGAGAACTCGCCAGGGACACTGTAGCTGCGGATGAGGTCCGCGTAGATGCGGGATTCAGGCCTGGAGCCGGACACCAGGTGGCCTGGAGCGTGGGCAGGAGGAGGGCGCGGTCACTTGCGTAGCTCCATCTGCCACGGAGTCCCGGGGTCCGTTTCTGAGAACCCCTGAGCGGGGGGGGGGGGGGGGATCCCCTAAGGCCCCTGGGGAGCCAGGGAGGTGGTGTGGCCTGGCCTCCAGTTGGTGACACCCGGGTTCCCTCGTCCAGTCCTGCCCACGCTCACTGCGGTGGGGCTCCCCGTCTACACTGCGCTCCCCTCCTGACCACGCAGGGGGCGCTCGCGCAGTGCCACCTGCAGGTCGCGCGTGGTGTGCGGCAGGGGGCGAGGCCACCTTCGGGTTTGGGGGCCCCTGAGGGGTTCCTCATCAGACGCATACGGGGTTCTAAGTGGCCATGGGCGTGGCCTGGGACATTCATCAGTGAAAGTCACCTGGTGGAATTGCTGGGATGGAACCCAGCTCGGGGTATCTTTGGGGGAGTTAGGAAGACACTTTGCAGCAAGGCCGTAATGAGCCTACACCTCCACCGTGCCTGCAGTGTGAACAGGTGTGGCCTGGTTGTGCAGTGCACAACCTCTGCAGCCGTCTAGGCCCGTCCTACCTCTGCTCCTCCCCTTCTCGGGCTGTCCCCGGAACCTCACCGAGGGCGTCGAAGGCTGGCAGCACGTCGAAGTCCACACTCTGGTCCAGCAGCGTGTGGGAGGTCAGCGTGAAGCTCAGTACTCGAGGGTTATCCCACTTGCAGATCTCAAATTTGACCTCAAACTGCTGCTTCCGCTGACAGGCCTCCAGCTGGGTGCGGATCTCCGAGATGACTTCGGCCCGCTTGATGCCCTGCTCAGTGAAGTGGCGGAAGCAGCTGAGGAAAACCACGATGTCGGCGTCTGAGCGGCCTCGCAGCGCTGTGCCCTTGGCCGAGGAACCACCCTGGGTGGGACAAGGCAGGCGGCTCAAGCTCTGAGCCCCGAGGTCTCCTCTGCCGCCCTCCAGCCTGCGGGTGCTGGGTTCCAGTCGGGGCCTGCTGTGTGGCCCTGGGCAAGTCACCCACCCTCTCTGTTTTACTTTATTTTGTGTTGTTTTGTTTTTGAAACAGGGTCTCGCTATGTAGTTCAGGCTGGCCTTGAACTCACTATGTAGCCTTGGCTGGTTTTGAATTACAGCAATCCTCCTGCCTCAGCCTCCCAAGTGCTGTGATTACAGATTTGAGATACCACACCCGGCTTTACATTTTAAAATACAGTAAGACTATAAGCATGTCACCAGTAAGCTGAAACCTTGTGTAAACACAAGGTTTAAACTTCTTATTCATTACTGTTTGACGCTGGGTGGATTTGAGAGCTTTTGCTTGTGTGTTTTGGCCAGTGCCTCTCAAGTCTGTCTGTATCTCTGTTTTTGGGGGGTGATTTACCAGGAATCGAACTCAGGACCTCGAGCTTGCTAAGCAGGCGCTGCACCACTGAGCTATATCCTAACCCTTGCACTGCTTTTAAAAAATGACCAAAGACTCCTATTCCTGGGATCTAATTCAGCCAGGCACAGAGACTGACAGCAGTGTATATTTTTAAAGAACTTCTGTGAGTTCAAGGTAAAAATGGGGGTGGAAACCAGTGAGCCAGGCTGCTTTTCTCAAACGTACAGAATAGGCAAGTGAGGACCAGAGAGGGAAGGGTACTTCCTTGGGGCCACACAGCACCTCAGCAGGCCTGGGACTGTGGCTGCCGGACACCGTCAGCGCTTTTTCCCAAGCTGACCCTGGTCTCCCTTATAAACCAAAGTCACACAGAAGACACCGTGCAGAGGATGATGTGACCTCTTGTACCATCCCAGCCCCTTTCTACAGGGAATCAGAATCCTAGTCATTTTCAGGGGTACCATAGCTCCCCACCCTCACCCTTGGGGTATGGATGTGGCCAGCTCCAGGGGACCCAGGAGCCCCTTCGGAGCCGGGGACCTCTCAGCCTCAGTCACTGGCTGTAACTCAAGCCACAATCCCAAGACTTCCACTTGAATTTTAGGAAAAGTCCTCTCTCTGGATACGTAGGACCACTTATGGGAAGGGCCTGTCCTAATCAGCAGTTGATTTTGCAGTTTTTATGGAAATCAGAATGTTGACTGTCATGCTAGAAATAAACCTGTCAGGCTTTTACTTTAAAAAAAAAAAACAGCAGAGCCCGCAATGCAGGGGAGACTTGAGTCTCCACTCCCTGGATCCAGCTGTGCCTGAAAGCAGATCTGTTCCCGGCCTTCCCAGTTTTGTTGGGCAGCACATTGCAAAGCTGCCTCTTTGGAGCTGGGCATCCCAGCAGTGAGAGATTTGTGGGACTTGTCTGTGCCCTTCCTCACCACCCCGTGACTGCATTCTGGCTCCTCCTCTGAGCCCAGCCTGGTCCTGGTGGCTGCGTCAGTCACAGAGTGGGTTAGGCCTGACCTCGGCTCAGGTGACCACAGGAGTCCATGCCCGGGCTCGGGGACCGACCTTGACCACCTTGAGCACCCTGATGGGTGAGTCCCGGAAGCAATTCTCCCTTAGGAACGAGCAGATGGTGTCCACCGCCTTGTTCACCTGCGCCAGGAACTGGCGGTTGGGCTGGAGGAAGTCGCTGATGAACCTGTCCAGGTCTCTGGCAGGCGTCTGGTGCAGGAGCGCGGGCTGTAGAAAGAACAAGCTGGGGCCTGCTGGGCCCACGGGTCCCAGGGAACCTTCCAGCCCCGTGCCTGCCGCATGCTGAGGACAAGGCACGCGTTGGCTCCTACACAGCTTTTTGGTGGGTCCTGAGTTTGCATGAGAGGGACCTGAGTTCAAGTTCTAGTTTTGCCACAGCCTCAGTTTCCCCATTGTAAACAGGTGCAACAGTGAGACCCACGTCTCACGGTTGCCTGGAGCATCAGTGCTTTTGCTGAGACTCGCTGCAGAACAGCAAATATGCCTGCATCTCTTTTGTGGCTTGGTGTTGCCTGTCACACCCCCGGCTCCTGTGTGGGAGGCGTGGTCACTTTAAGAGGTGGGGCTTAGTGGGAGTAATTGGGGGCCTGGCTTAGAAGGAGTTAAGCAGTTGTCACAGAAACTCCTGGAGGAAGTTGTTATAAAACAGCCTGCCTGTCCTGGGATGAGATCTCTTCAACCCACACCAGCCATGGGGTCCTCCCCAGAGCTGAGCTGACCCAGGCGCCACCATCCTGAATCCCATGACCGGTAAGCTAAATAAGCCTCTTTTCTTTATAAAGTTTTCCGGCTTCAGGCATTGCATTACAGTGTCAAAAAACATCTGTCTGGGAGCTGCTGGGAGCTTAGGTCTTAGGTCATTTCCTCTAACAGCAGAGCCTAACATGGGAACTATGGTACACATGACAGACCGAGGTCAGGCTCTCAGGACGTGGGGATGCGGACAGCATCGGGGTCTGGGGAAGGAGCGTAGAAGACTGGGGACCCTGCTGGAGGCAGTTTGCCTCCTGAACTCCGACCCCATTCGGAGTTCAGGAGTGTGAACTGATCCCACCTTTAAATAAACGGGGCTTTTTGTACTCACGTCACATAGGTCCAGCTGGGTCGTGGCAACATGTGCCTCTCGTGGAGGCCAACCTCCCAGAGGCAGGGACAGCTGTAATCATCAGCCACCCAGCCTCCTGGTACCTAGGGATGGGTCCACTGCAGGCAAAGTGGACCTGCCAGCACCCCTCAGCCCCTTACCATGACATCCCAGGGCTCCACCGCTGTCCCGGCCCCACTCATGTGGCAGATCTGTTTCTCCAAGGCTGTGGCTTCCCGGGCCAACAGCTGCCAGCTGCCCTGGCCCACATTCCAGGTGGGGTCAGCCGGGTCCAGGACTAGAGGCCTGGGGGGCAGAGCAGGTGGTTGGGAGGTGGGAGTCGGGGAAAGGAGGGGCTGGGAAGGGGAGCGAGGCTTGGCCCAGCTCACCCAGTGCCTCCGTGGGGACGTTCCTGGGAGGCCCCTTAAATACAGGAGTGACTTTCGATTGTGGTAATCCAACCCACGGGTCCCAAAGCCCACTCTGGACCACTCTTGGATACACAGATTCCACGGTGATGATGAGGATGAGAGGAGGACGGGGAGGAAGACGAGATGGCATAAGACAGGGACTGGGGTAGCAGGTACACACCTAGTTTTCCGAAGCTGGTCCAGAAGATGCATTCTCAGAGCTGGCTCCTCAATGCCGTAGTTGAGTGTCCAGTAGACACAGAGCTGCCCATGCTGCTGGACAAGCCCCAGGACGGTTCGGAGGCCTTGGGCCATGCTGAAACTGTCCTTCCCACAGCCCTGCTCCCAGGCAAAGATGGTCAGGAGCTCCAGCGCGTAGGCAGGGGGCAGAGAGGCACCTGTGTTCTGAACTGCAACCTAGAGCACAAAGGCAATCAGGGATCAGTGGCTGTGGCGCTCACCTCCCACGCAGAACACGGCCGGAGCACTGGACAGGAGAGGAAGGCACAAAGCAGACCACAGAGAAAACAGGACCTGGGTGATGACTCATGGGTGTTTTACAGGTGGGTAAACTGAGGGAAATCATTTGGAGTGTGTGCAGGAGAGAGAAGGACAGGCTAGACTAGGGGGTGAATGCCGGGTACACAAAAAGGAGGACTCTGCGCTTTATGGAGACAAGATACAGAGGCTTCCATATCCGCGCAGGAGCAGAGGACGGAGTAGGCGGGCTTTCTGCTTTGGACAGCCAATAAGAGGTCTATGTAGACCAAAGGAGAGGTCTGTGTAAGGGAGGAGTTGATTGGCTCACGCTGTTGCCATGACCGCCATATCTGTAAGAGAGAAGGTGAGTGGCTGAGGCCTCGCCAGCCGCTTCCGGGAAGAGGACCGAGCACCCACCTGGCGGTACCAGTGCTTCACGAGCAGGATCAGGCTCTTGAGTTTGGCCGGGCGCGTGTTCACGAAGCTCCTGCGCAGCTCTGCGAAGCAGGCGGCGTGCTCGCCCCCCTGGCAACCGCTGCTGAGGAGGGCCAGGTAGACCTGGGGCTTGGGTTTGGCGCCAGAAGTGAGCTGCCCTGTGGAGATTTGAGATGCTGCTTGAGTTTGCAACTCCAGAGGAGGACAGCAGTGTTTCTCCAGCCATCCATTCAGCATTAGCTCCATTAATGACATTGCTGAATGTGATTAATTTCGACATTAATTTTGTGATAAACCACAGCACTGGCTAAATGCAGAACCTTTTTTTTTTTTTTTTTTTGAATTACTACTACTACTAATTGGACGCTTTTCAATAATTTCACTAAGCTACCGGATAATGCACAAGAGGGATACTCTTGATCCAAAAACCCTGTGTAACATAGAGGTGAAAAGCATGTGCTTTGGAAGAAAATACCACCCCCCCCCCCAAGACACTGAGACCCAGTCCTGTGCCGGATGCGGTGTGCAGCCCGAGTTTACATTGGCGTGCTGGGAATATCCCAGGCTGCTAAATGAACCCACAAACAGGCCTGGAAATTAGGGAGACTCTCGGAACCCAGTGTAGAAGCAGACTGAGAACCTGGTCCCGTCAGAGCTCTTTGCCCAGCCCGCAGCGGAAGAAACTGACAGGGAAGAGGAGAGAAAGTCTGTGGACCTCACAGTAAAAAGTGATGACCCACCGAGGACATGGCCCACCAGGAGGTGGAGTCAGGTGGAGGGTGAGCTCTGAGAAGAGTCAAGGTACTGGACAATCACAGAGATGAAAATAAACATGTCTATAAGCAAGAGATGCAGAAATTGAAGTACAATGTGATAACTGACGCGGTTTGAGGAAATAGACTGATCTGAGAAAAAGCCAAACAACTAGAAGCAAAAAGCAATATTGAAATTTAAAAATAATGAGCACAGGGTGCTAGACAGCCTTCTCATTGCTGGGTAAAACACCTGACACCCACAGCTTAAAGGAGGAGAGGTTTATTTGGCTTACAGTCTTGAAGGGTTCAGTTCATTCTTAGCTGGTGCCCAGGCAGAAAGATCATGGCAGAAGGGCATGGAGGACAAAGACGCCAGAACAAGGGGACCGTGCCAGAGAGGAAGGGACAAGGGCCCAGATCCGGTACCTACATAGTACGGTATAGTACATGGCCCCGACGCGTGTGCAGCTGTTTACTAATCTCCCAGGTGGATCTCAAGCCAAGAAACTGGACAGTGCAGTGGCCACAGATTAGTAGCAGATCCACATCTGAGGGGAACTAGCGGAAATATGGATCTGAGTAGGGAGAAGCAGATAGACACCTGCGAGAGGCAGCCGGGGAAGCCAGGTGCCCTGGTGCACACCTAACATCCCGCCACCTAGTCCCAGCCACGTAAGGAGGACGGTGACTTTGAGGCCAGCCTGAGTGATACAGCAAAACCCTGTCTAAAACAAAACAAAACAAAAACAAACACAGATGGGAAGATGAGAGATGGAAATCAGATGGAGTGAGTTATACTCTTGTAGGAATCTCAGAAGCAGAAAACAGAAAGCATGGAGGAGAAGCGATATTCACAGAGACACTGGGAGATATATTCCCCAAACTAAAGCGGGGATTGAGCTCTCAGATCCAGGAAGTCTGGATTCCGCTGGGATCCAGGCACAGATGTGTCAATGGGAAATTGGATTCTGTGGACCAAGAGAAAGGCTGACATGTTACTAAAAGGAAAGTTCAAACAGAACTAGCAAACAAAAATTCGCCCTCAAATGAAGATTATTTTTTTAAAAAAACAAGGAACTTATAATCAGAGAACAGAGGTCAGAAGACAGTAGATCTCGAGGGCAAAAATAGCAGCTTGATTCAAGTGAGACAGGTTTTCAGGCAAAGTCTCAGGCTTAAAAGGGACAGCAAATCCCAGCACACTGAGAGCACAAACATTTTCTGACTACTGTAAAAAGAGGTAATTCGGAAAGCAAACAAAGGAACAAACTCCCAGAGCACTCATTTGGAAGCCTGCTTCCTCATATTCACGGAAGGCAGAGCCAATTACAATGCCACAATTAAAACTTCCAAAGATTTAGACCTGAACGATGACAGGAGCTTTGTGTATCGAACTGTGTGTCACTGCTGACATTCCTAAAAGAAATGTGTGGCATTAATTGCATTTGTAAGGTTGACAGTTTCCAAGCTAAGAGTCACATCCCAAAATAGGAAAAAAGAGTCCTAAAATAAGCCCCCTAAAAAGGCGGCAAGAAATCACCATATGAATTTCCTTTTTCAAAATTTCGAGCCAGCACGGCGGTGTGCACCTAGGAGGCTGAGGCAGGAGGATTGAAAGTTTGGGATGAGCTTGGGTGATTTAGATTTAGCAAGTCCCTATCACAAGATTTAATTTTAAAAATAGGGGGCAGGGGAGTTCATTGTGGATTCAACCCCCAGCGCTGCAATGCATAAACTAATAAAAATGAAAGAAAATTCCAAGCAGGTGTGGTGGGTCGTTACTACTTTATACCCTGTTGGACTACGTGGGTGTGTGGTGAATGGAGTTTTCTGTAAGCTCGGAACATGTCATGGTTAAAATCTTTGCAGAGGGGAAGCACTAACTGACTAAGATTTCACAGTGGTGGTTGCTGTGGATAATGGGGAGTACTTGTCCACATGTGGTTGAATAGGAAGATGAGGAGGAGAAGGTCAGTGTGCCGGGACATGTTTCCCGGTACCCTGGGTCCCTCTCGCTCTCCCAGGCACAGGCTGGGCACCTCTCACCCACGGCATCGTAGGTGGGCAGCAGGCTGACATCCACGGGGCTTCCTAAAGCTGCAGACACGAGCTGGCACCGCAGCGCACCAGGCACCTTCTGCTCAGGAAACTTGAGGCTGAGACCAGGGACTGGGTCCTGCCACTGGGATTTCAGCTGGGCCCGCATGTCGTCCAGGATCTCCACACAGCGGGGCCCCTGACCCCTGAAGCCCGTGAGGTCATTGAAGAAAATGACCAGCTCAGCATCACAGTCACCCCTCAGGTCGGTGCCCCTGCCAAAGGAGCCGCCCTGCGGAGAGACAGCTGCTCAGACCAGGGGCCCTCCGAGGTCAGCCTCCCACCCATCACCTGCACCCCGGGAATAATTCTCTCGCTGGCATCAGGTCCAGGGACACTTGGCAGAGGCAGGCTGCATGTGACCTGTGACCTCTGATCCTCAGGTCCCAAGCAGACTCAGACAGATGTGCAGCCGCGCACAGCTGGGGCGGGGAGGATTCAGGTCCTCAACCCGACATCCTCAGCCCGCATCTATAGCAGCCCGCACACAGGGACCAGCAGATACCAGACTGGGGCCCCAGAGCCTAAGGGGGCCTGCAGATGTGTGTTAAGTGAATCAGTGGATTAGTGCTTTGGCTTGTTGACCCACTCATGCAACAAATATGTGTCAAGCACTGACATGGGCCAGGGTACGAGTGAGTGGGTAGAGGATTGTGTTCTCCTGGAAGACACCTTTCAGGCAGGGACAGAGGCAGGAGGTGCAGGGGTGAACAGGGTTTCCTGAGAGATGCTATGCACCTGTGCGGGGGGGGGGGGGGGATGGGATGGGAATTTTGAATTAATTCAGTTTCCTGGTCAGAGGTGAACATCGGGGCAGGGCTTTAAGGGGGAGGAGACGAGTGCCTGGCCAGAGGCCTTGTGTGCCTGGTGACCCCAGTGTGCCGTCAGTGAGGGTCAGAGGGAGCCAGGGCCCAGTCCTGCCGCCCCTGAGGCCACTCTCATGCTTCTAGAAACCAAAGCAGAGCAAAGCCTGCAGTTAACCACGCAGCTGGTCCTTCACTTATGATAGCTCTGCTTACAGTGGGGCCCAAGCCCGGACCACAGCCATTCTGATTTTCTGGAAAGGTCTTGAGATGGTGGACTTTGTGGGGCGCCCTCTGCCGGCTGCAGGCCAACGTGCTGCTCGGATGCCATGGCTGAGCTAGGGAGGTGAGCTGGGTCCCTGTGTACCAGCTCTTAGTCCATTCACTTTCCTCTGGTCCACCTGCAGCCAGCAAGCCACCCTGTCCCCGCTGCACTGCCGTCACCCCTGCCCTCCCGCCGTGGTCCCTCTCGGGGTCCCATCCCTGTCCTCACCTGCCCCACTCACCTTGCAGATCCTGGAGACCTTGTGGGTGCAGCGCTCCCGGAGGCAGCTCAGGATGCCGTCCACGCCCCTTTTCACCTGCTCCTGGAACTCGCGGCTGGGCTTCAGGTGGTCCTGGATGAAGCGGTCCAGCTCCTTGGGGGAGACCCGCGACAGATCTGGGGCCGTGCCCGGCACCCAGGGGGAGGCACTGGCAGGAGGTGGTTGCTTGTTCTTTGCCCTCGGGGGCTTGGTATTGTGCCTCCTGCTGTGCTCAGGGATTTCCTGGGGCAGGTCTCCATGGTTGGGGTGGCTCACAGCTGCACTCCCAGCATGCGGAAGGTCCTGGGAGGGAGTTTGGGTGATTCCTCAGTGGGTGCTCAGGTTTCTATGCTCACCTGACTCCCCCTCAGTGGCCTCCTCTCTTTGCACACTTGGGGTGACTGAGGCTCAGTGGGGGAACAGGGACATGGGGGCTTAGTGCAGATAAGGACCAGGTGCTGTTGTCAGGGTCCCCTTCCCTGTGGTGGGCAGAAAAGCCCAGCAGTGGACCTCTATGTGCCTGCCTGGATGTCTGACCAGCCTGCTGCCCCTGCTGTGGAGTCCCGATCCAGGCCACTGGCCCGGCACATGGCAGATGCTCAGAAACACTGAGCACATAAACTGTGCAAATCCAAGGGTTCTGGGGAGACCCCCACTCACCAGCCCGTCCCAGGGCTGCACAGGGTCCCCCGTCGCCTGCGTAAAACAGGGGTTGTCATAGCAGGACGCGGCCTCCCGGGCCAACACATCCCACCGCCAGGCTGCTCCGCTGCCCACATCCCATGTGGGGTCAGCCGGGTCCAGGATCACAGGCCTGCAGTTCCCGGGACATGAGGTCCCAATTAGCAAGGGGCACTGGAGTCCGGCAGTACCGGTTCCAACACCACCCTGCACTTTGCAGCTGTGTGACCAGGGCAGACGACTGACCTTCCCTGAGCCTCTATTCCCACATTTGCAAAATGAGGCACCGAGTTATACCTTGGGGCTTAGAAATTTCATTCCTAAACCATTTGATGCAAACACATTCAAAACATATATAAGACTAATCATTTCTAACAGTTGTGTTTGTAATAGATTCCAATGAGAACCAACCCGGACATCCATCATCAGTTGGCAAAACTCATATCATGAGCAATCCATGCAGTGGAATATTATGCAGCAACAAAAGGGATTAACCACAAACGTTTGGATAGATCGTGCAGACTTAACGTGGAGAAAGTGAAGTCACAAAGGATATGCTGTAATTAAGACTGAAGAACAGGAAAGACTGTAACTATAAAAGTTAGAACAGGCTTATCTTTGGGGCATCACTGATGGGGGGGTATTCTGCAGGGATGGCCGGTGGTGTCACTTTAACAAATCTGTGCATGTGATGCTCAGTAAGGCAGGCACATTGGAAATACGTCATGCGCTCAGCATGGTTATGTTTCCCAGCCTCCCAGGAAAGCCAGTGTGTGTCTGGGCCTGAAACCTCAGCATTTTGCTTCCCTAGCTGGGCCCTGGGTTCCCCTTGCTGATCGGCTCACTGAGACCCAGGGCCGGGAGATCCGTGGGTCCTGGACATTACCTGGGTCTCTCAAGCTGCTGCCGCAAGGACTTCCCAATTACAGGGTCCTCCAAGCTGTAGTTGTCGGTCCAGAAAACACACAGCTGCTGGTACTGCTCAATCAGGCCCAGGACGGTGCGGAGGCCTTGGGCCAGGCTGAAATTGGGGTTCCTGCAGCCCTGCTCCCAGGCGAAGATGGTGAGCAGCTCCAGGGCGTAGACGGGGGGCAGCGCGCTCCTCCCGGCCTCCTGTGAGGACACCTAGGGCAGGCAGGACGGGGCTCAGCAGGATGGGCAGCGGCTCTCTGCAGAGCTCCGCTGGCTCTTGAGCTGGGGCCTGGACGCTGTGTCCGCACCTGCCCTAGGGCATTCCCTGCCCCCCAACCCCGTCCTCGCTGATGGAGGCTGGGCACAGTGCTGGACACCTGTGATGGGGCAGGGCTGAGTTCAGCCCCCAGGAGGCAGAGGGGACTGACGAGAGAAGCTCAAACTGTCCCTCCAGCACCCTGTCCCCTGTCCCCACCCTAACACACGATGCTGACTCTGCACCCAGAACCGGGGGCTGCACAGACAAGGAAGGTATTGCAAGAGCACCAGGGCTGGCTGGGCAGCGCGAGACTGGGCGCTGGGGCTGGGGCTCACCAGGAGGTGGCCCGCCTGGCTAGAGGCCCAGCAGGAAGGGGCCCGGCTCCCTCCAGCCACGTGCTCTCTGGGGCTGTGACGCATGTGTCCCCCCACCAGATCCTGTTAGAACCATTCCAGCACCCAGGAGAGAAGCCCCAGTTTGCCCTCTCAGTAAGCACCAGGCTATTCACACTTCCTGTCCCTGGAGCATCCTGTTCATGCGGGAAGACAGTGAGGAATATTTACAGACCCTAGTTCTCCTTTATGCATAAGTGGAGGCAACAGAAGCCCAGAGAAGGCTAGCAGCTTGCACAAGGCCACACAGCGTCTATAGCAGAAATGGAACCCAAGCTCTCCCCATGCCCAGACTGGCTTACAATGAGTGGTGTACGTGCCCTGGTATATGTGCCCTGAGATTCTGGGGGTGCTCAGCCCCTCATCTGTAGGCACAGCTGGACACCCCTCCCCCAATGCACAGAATCTATCAACAAACACCAACGACACACACGCGGGTTCCTGGGGCTGGGCAGGAAGTGTCCAAGCTCAGTCGATCAAAGTCCTGTCATGAGAGGAAAGACTTAGAAAGACAGAGCAGGAGAATGATTTAGAGCAGGGACAAAAGAGCTCATTTAAGAAAAAGATTAGTACGTCTAGCAACATCAGAATTCACATGTTTTCACAGGCAGAGGGGCTTGAAGCTAAAGTACAAGCCACAGACTGGGAGCACAGATTTGTCTCCTAACAGAAAATGAGCACCCACAATATGTAAAGAGTTGTGACAGATCATCAACGAGGTGACAGCTAAACCGGGTGGGAATGGACAAAGTACAGGAACGGTGTGGGAAGCCGCCTATGAATGGCGCCCATTTCCTGCTTCCGGGTTCTTCCCGGCCTGAACAAGCCCGCCAAATTGTCATATCTGCCCAGTTACCCGTGACGCTAGCCTATCAGCTTGTTAGGCGCGCTTCTCTGTGATTGGATACTGCTTCCCCTTATAAGAGGTTGTTCCTGCCCCCAACGGCGGAAGAGGAATCAACACCGAGGGTGGCGGACCTTGTCAGGTCCGGTTCGCTGTACGTAATAAAGTTTGAGAGCTGATCCTGCTCGAGTTTGGTCTCCTGTCTCCCGCGGCTCCGGTCATCTGGTGGCCCGCACGGGGAAGGTTCAGCGACGCGCGGGCGCGACTGCTGTCACCTGCGGTACGACGGAGAACCCGGCTCAATAACAACGGAAGGCCCCGAGCACCTCTTCTCTTCACCCTGATCAGCTACGTGAGATACAGCGGTTCCCGGGACAGGTGAGTACTGGATCGCCTGGGTTGGGTGGACGCACCTAACAGATTTTGAGCGCCACACGGGTGGACGCCGGTCTTTTTTTTTTTTCTTTTCCCTTGCATTTGTTTCGCTTTCGCTTCGCCATTATTAATGTAGTCTAATCTTACTCTAAAGAATCTTGACTAATGTTGTAAGAACCCTGAGTTTTCCTCATATTTTCCTAACTTTTAGAGACATAGTTATTTTAATGCAGAGGTGATTTTCAAAATGTTTAGCAACTGGCACTGGGCAGACACCTGTCACTCAGAATGAGTGTCAGCTGCAAACGAGCAGTGTGTGTCACTGCACCAACGCCCAGAGGCTGAGGGTCACACTGCTTTCAAATATAAAAGTGGTATCACTCTGAATTGTGGATATTGTTTCTGTTTTGTCTGATCTGATTTCTAGTCACAAGGCTGTTTTAGGACACCTGTGGCTTCCCTTCACATGGTACAGACAGGATCAAGAATGTTTGTTTGAAATATATGGACATTTAAATCTTTGTGAGCCAAAGCTTCACATTTTACAGTGGGAAAATTCCTAGTGGGATTTATGTTCATAGATGAAGAATTGACAATATCATTTTATTGAGTTTTGTATTCCTTAAACTCTTAAAATATACCATTATCCAGACGCGGTCGCTTCCCTTTCTCTAGAGGGCATCTCACGCGCTATACAACATTTTGGGGTGCCTCCTTCCTCCCTACATGTGCCATACACAAGAGATCAAATTGAAACCTTAACAACATGCCTGGATTCCTGGGCGATCCTTCGGTGTACTTTCCAGGGAACCATAGATAATCAATTCCCAAAAGACCCCCTGCTCCAGTTTGTCACCGTGCATCCTGTGATCTTTCCTAAGGTCACGTCCCCACACCCCATAGCTGGAGCTCCAATAATATTTACAGACGGCTCCAAGTCAGGCATAGGCGCGTATGTGGTTATGGGTCAAGAGCCAAAAACTATCCAATTTACTCCAGACCAACCCCAGGTGGTCGAGCTCCAGATAATACAGGAGGTCTTACGTCGCTTTCCAGGCGATGTTAACCTCCTGTCGGACTCCAAGTATGTGGTAAATGCTCTCCAAGTTCTGGAGATGGCGGGTCCCATTAAACCCTCTTCAACGGTAGCCTCCATATTCCTAGGTATTCAACATCAGCTATGGAATAGAACCTCAAAAGTGTTCATCTCACATATCAGAGCCCATACTAATTTACCTGGGCCCTTGGCGGAGGGCAATGCCTTGGCAGACTCGGCCACGCGCCCGATATGGGTCTTCACCTTTCCCAACCCTCTGGAAGCAGCCCAAAAATTCCACTCTCAGTTCCATGTTAATGCCCGCACCCTCATGGCGCGCTTCAACATCACGAGAGCACAAGCACGAGAGATTGTACGGTATTGCCCAGCTTGTGTGATCTCTTCACCCCAACAATCTATTGGCATTAACCCAAGAGGACTTCGCCCAAATCATATTTGGCAAATGGATGTTACACACATCCCAGAATTCGGAAAACTTAAATATGTTCATGTTTCGGTAGATACCGCCTCCCAGGTTATGTTTGCCTCGGCAGAACCCGGAGAAAGGGCCACCCACGCTATTAATCATTGCCTGGCAGCCTGGGCTCCTTGGGGAAAGCCCAATATACTAAAAACAGACATTGGTCCTGCCTATACCAGCAAAATTTTTATGACATTTTGTCAACAAATGGAAGTCACTCTTAAACATGGCATTCCTTACAACCCCCAAGGACAAGGCATCATTGAGCGATCCCATCGGACACTCAAGGATGTCTTACAAAAACAAAAGGAGGGAATAGGCCATGGCCTAACGCCCAAAGGAAGAATATCATTGGCACTCTTTACCATAAATTTTTTAAATCTTAATCACAATAATCATTCCCCTGCCATGGAGCACAATAACCCGTCCCCGGCCGACAAAGGGCTGGTGAGATGGAAAGATGTCCTTACAGGACAATGGATGGGCCCGGATCCAGTGATTAGCTGGACCCGAGGTGCGGTTTGTGTCTTCCCACAGGAACCAGGCTGCGAACCGCTGTGGGTCCCGGAAAGATTGACGCGAGCAGTAAACTCCCCACCAGTTCCTGATAAAGCACAGGAGGATAAGCCCGCGGACACAAGTCAACTCGACCCTTCCGGGACCGACGCTCAGCACCCGAGACCATCTGCAAACTAAAATGTCTGGTTTGGAGCTTTTTCTATTCTGTGGGTTCCTATTAATCACCCCTGTTCGCACAAATTTGACCAACATTGTTAAAAATATGACAGCTTGGCTGCAAGACACCTACCTACCTAAGTTTCACAATTTGTCCCTCATAGTAAGTCAGGAACTTGACAATATGGACGGTATCCAACTAGGTCCAGTCAGGTTCGATTTATCAACTTTAGGCAGTGTTATAGCCAGTTTGTGGGAACGCGTCACCTCCTGGTTCTCCTGACCCAACCTGACTACTTGGATCCTGATTGCCGTGGCCTTCCTAGTGGGGCTTGTGGTTATTAAATGCTTGTTAGATCGCCTCATACAAACTCAGCAGCAGGTTAAGATCACAGCTATGGCAGCCATGCAAATGGCAGCAGGTGGCCCATCAGGCCAGCAGGCCGCCGCATATCTCCTTCACATTGCAGAACATCAGCTATAAGAGCTGAGTGGGCAAGCCAATGACGGGTAAGACGGGAAAAGCCCTCCCGGTCAACCTAAGACAGGCTCCACTCAGATATACATGGCCTATAAGGCCAGGGGTCCCTTCTGGAGTCAAATTATTGGCATTGAGATGCGAGACCAAGGGTACTGCAGTGCCATCCGCCTCAAAGGTTGGGGGGAAGGCAGGAATGAATGTCTATATGCATCCAGGTTCGGTTCGCATATGCCTGGCCCTGCGAAAAAATGAACCACTCACCTTGAGCATGGTCCTGGCGCAAGGATATGCACAAAACAAGGTGATGCACAGCAGGGTATAGACCTCTACATTCTCTCATGCCTCGGCCTACAAGGTAGGCCCACTCCTAGGTGTCTAACAGCAACAAGGTCATAGACACCTTGGAGGGACCCACAGACCATCCTATTTTAATAAATAAAAAAGGGGGAGATGTGGGAAGCCGCCTATGAATGGCGCCCATTTCCTGCTTCCGGGTTCTTCCCGGCCTGAACAAGCCCGCCAAATTGTCATATCTGCCCAGTTACCCGTGACGCTAGCCTATCAGCTTGTTAGGCGCGCTTCTCTGTGATTGGATACTGCTTCCCCTTATAAGAGGTTGTTCCTGCCCCCAACGGCGGAAGAGGAATCAACACCGAGGGTGGCGGACCTTGTCAGGTCCGGTTCGCTGTACGTAATAAAGTTTGAGAGCTGATCCTGCTCGAGTTTGGTCTCCTGTCTCCCGCGGCTCCGGTCAGAACGGGGCTCCCCAGAAATAGGAGGTGAAGGGCCCTACACAGGAAAGAGCATTTGACTGTCCCAGAAGCACCAGGCGGACGGTCGCAGGTCCCCAGCGGGACCCTCCGGGCGGCAGCCTCACCTGGCGGTACCAGTGCTTCACGAGCAGGATCAGGCTCTTGAGTTTGGCCGGGCGCGTGTTCACGAAGCTCCTGCGCAGCTCCGCGAAGCAGGCGGCGTGCTCGCCCCCCTGGCAGCCGCTGCTGAGGAGGGTTCTGTAGACTTGGGGTTTGGGTTTGGCCCCTGAGTTGAGCTGGCCTGTGGGCATGAAGAGCCGTGAGTGCCAGAGGTGCCCAGGGTAAGGCAAAGGCCAAGGTCAGCGCTGAGCTCAACCGGGGCCAGGAGGGCGGGGAGCATCTGGAGGGGGACAGGGCAGAGTGTCCGGAGCGTCTCGGGATGCGCAAGGAGGTAACTGCGCCCCAGAAGACATCGGGAAGGTCCCTCCCTCTGTCCTGAGTGGCAGGCGGTCTCCCTGGTCGCCTGGAGCAGGTAGCAGATTGCTAGCTGGCTGAGCACAGCAGTGCCTCCAGTGGCCAGAGGAAGCTGCCACCCCGTTCCTTCCTCAGCAGTGCGGAGATGCCACTTCACAAAGGCTGCCTTGGGGAGAGGCGACTGTCCCCGGGGAGCGACAGACAAAGAATGCTGACTGTCATATGGGTGATGATGAGTACCTGTCTTGCCTGTAGCCCAACCCCAGCCGTACACCGTCACCTTCTGGGAGCAGTGAAGCCCTGATGGGTGAGGACAGGCGTGACCTCTGTCGATACAGATGCCACCAACTGGGGACCAAAAATATTCGGAAAATCTTTGCACTGTCCCTCGTCATTATCCTAGTGAGGGTGCCAGCTGGGGGCTGTCATGATGTTTTGGGCCACAGTGGGCTGCATGTGACGGTGGTCACACCACACAGCGTAGATGTGCAGTGGGGTGCACATCTGGGTTGGTGCAAGAGCATCCCGTGGGGTTCACAGTGGTGACATCGCCTAAAGCATCATTTGTCAGGACGGATCCCTGCTTCTCAATGACACAGGCTGCGTCCACACAAGACTTGGGTGGTGTCGGGTATCCTGAATAAACTACGAGTGATTTAAAGCAGACAGGAGAGGACACAGACTTGGGTAATCCCTGAGGTGTCCTGGACCCAATTCCCGTGTGCCAGGTACAAGGGGATGTGGCTGTCTGCCAGGATTATCAAGGTAACTAAAAATAATAGTAATGGCAGAAATGAAGAGAGCAAAGACTCTGCTGGGCATGGTGGCATGGTGTTTATAATCCTAGCATTCAGGAGGCTGAGGCAGGAGGCTCGCAAATTCACTTAGCAAGACTCTGCCTCAAAAAGCAAAGCAAAACAGAGATAGACTGTCACATGCGCCTCCTCATGTGCAAGGGATTCTTTTAGATTTGTCACTTATATTAATGCATTAATTCTTCCCACAGTTCTGTAAGATGGATTCCTGTTAGGCATATTTTTACACTTAAGGAGGAGAATGTGAAAATCCTATTATTGTTTTCAAGATAAAAGGTAAGGTTTTTCAGATTCGGGTCTTGTCCCAGGGCCCTGCTGCCAGCCACCTGGGCATCAGCCTTTGTGTCTGGGGCATTTCTGTTAGGGCCAAAGGACCAAGCCCCTGGACACCGGCGCCCCAACGGAGGAGGAAGGAGGCTTTCCTGGGTCCTGTCTGCTCCAAGCCCCAGAGCTACAGCCAAGAAATCGAGGCTCAGAAGGGGCAGAGCACTGTGCTATGGTAGGGCCAGAATGGGTGACAGTCTTGCCCCCAAACCTGCAACGGGCAAGGGATCCCTCACCCAGGACGTCAAAGGCGGGCACCAGGGTGACATCCATCCAGTTCTCAAGGTCTTCGGACACCAGTCGGAACTGCAGGACCCCGGGTGAGCATTGAGCAGGGAGCTGAACACTGAGACCCGGGCCGGGGTCCTGCTGCCAGGCCTCCAGCAGGGGCCGCGTGTCCTCCAGGACCGCCACGCGGCGGGCCCTCAGGTCCTGGAAGCTCTCAAAGCAGTCAAGGAAGACGACACTTTCAGAGTCACAGCCGTCCCGGAGAGCCGTGCCCCGGCCGAAGGAGCCTCCCTGGAGAGACAAAAACACCCCGGTTCCAGCGCCCTTGAGTAGGGGCTGGCCCGAGCCCTGGGTGAGGCAGTGAAGCCGCTCAAGTATCTGATATCACACAGCAGCACAGGAGCGCAGGTCCGAGGCAGCCAGGTAGGAGTTTTCAAGAGAAGCAACTTTAATCTATAAATCTCAATTTTTAATGTTAACTTTTACAAAAGCACAATGAACTCTGGTTTGCAATGCCCACGTCTGTGCCCTTTGCTTGGGGGACATAAAAAACTGGTATGATTCACCAAATTTCTAAAGCCATTCTGAAAATCCAGTGTTTCTTTCTCCAAAGTTTTCTGCTCCAGGATGTGGGAAGCAAACTCCCAACCTCTGACCCCTGGCATCTGGCTTCCAACACACGGTGACCTCGATGCGGTTACAGGTGACAGCAGCTATGGGGACAGAGGCTCGGGGGGGGGGGTCAAGTGAGCCACATGGCCAGCAAACGCAGGACCTGGGTGGGTCCTCTAGGAGGAACCCCTGGCTGGCCCAAAGCGGGGACCTCAGCACCCCAATCCCAGCCTGTTTACTGCTGGCACCCACTTTGGATGGCTGTGGCCACTGTGAGCACAGGATTAGGGTGAATGTCGGGGCATCGTCCAGTTCGTTTATTATTAAATTATTTATTCTTGTTAGCAACCGAGCCGGGAAAGTGCCGTCACCGTGCTCCCCACGAGAGGCAGGAGCCGCTACTGCTCAACCCCGAGCCCTGGAGGAGGGACCCAGGAGTCACCCCAAATCTCCCCTCTTTTTTCTCCCATGCATTGATTTACAATCCTGTGCAAAAAGAGAGAGGAGTTTGACGATGGCTTTGTCCCTCTTTTTCTCTTTGGGGGAACAATGTGTCATTTCGCCCTGACACATCCTCGGGGACAGGGCTAAAATTGTGACACTTGAGAGCAGGTTATCGTGTCCCAAGAGACCAATCTGGAGATGTTTTGGGTGATAGCGATTGGGGGCAGGGATACGTGTAGGAGTACCTGCAGGTCTGTCTGCAGGGCTCCTTTGCTCTCTGGTCCAGCCAGAAGCCCCAGGCTGGCCCCCAGCCCTGGCTGGCCGGGCAGAAGGCATCCCTTGTGGGGCCCTCTGGCTGGGGAAGGCATCCCGAGCCCCTGGGTGCGCCCCCAGGGGAAGCCCATCTCCGTCACCCTCTGCCAACTTCTCCGAGCCTCGGCGCTCAGCCACGGGGTTCCGGGGAGCTGCGGATGCCAGGGCTTCCTGAACCCTCAGACCTCTCCTGTCTACCTCAGGGCCTCACAGCTAAGCCCCAAGTCTCTCCCAGGTGCCTGCTAGAAGCCACCAGGGCCCGGACGCCCGTGCGTCCCGTACTAAGTCCCAAGCTGGGGTTCTACCACCTGCCACAGCCAGGTTCCCCAAACCCACCCAGGGACACCCGGCTTTTCCCCGAGGCAGCTCACAGCTCGTTTCTCCGGGTGACCAAAGGGCCACAGCAGCAGTGTGACAGGGCGCCTAGGGGAGCGCAGGGCGAGCCTGAGGCCACAGTCCGGGTACCTGACTGAGGGGATGAGTGAAGGAAGGACAGGCAGCCTTGGGGCCACAGAGGCACTAGACTCCCCTTCTGCTGGGCGGCTTGCACACTACCAAGCCTCCCGGTGCCTCAGTTTCCCCATCTGCCCGGTGGGCGTGGAGTCTGCGGCCGGGCTGTGCCGAGCTCCGCGGGGCACCTGGCCACCTGGCCCTCCGCCCGCGGCTCACCCTGGCTGTCTTCAGCACCTTCGGCCCCTGGCGGCCCCTGCGCTCCCGGAGGGCGGCGTCCAGGGTCCCCAGAGCGCGCCGCGCGGCCCCCACGAACTCGGGCTGCGGCTGCAGGTCGCGCGCCACCAGCGCGTCCAGGGCCAGCGCCGCGGTGCGGTACAGGTCCATGGCGACAGGAGGCAGTGAGGGCGCAGCGGAGTGCAGCCTCGGGGAACCGGCGGCGCAGGCTTTCAGTTTCGTTTCTTCCTCCTTCCACGCCTCCTCCTTTTCCTCCTCGGTTTCTCTTTCCTCATTTCTCTCTGCAGCAGCACTGGGCCCTCGCAGTTAGTTTGAAAAGTCAGTTTATTACTACTGAGCATTGTCCTCCATGGGATCACCCCCCTTCACCTCCACCCCCTGCTCCTCGAGGCGACTAGGTAGCTGTGGGAACCGAGATAACAGGCTCCTGGCTTCCGGTGCCAACCGCTACCAGGATGGCCGGAACCCCCACGGCTCGGGCAAGGGCTGGCACCCTGGCCTGCAGGAGGAGACCCTCATTCTCCCGGCTGCGTCCCTGTCTTGCTGGGCAGCCTCGGCGGTCACTGGGCTTCCCTGGGCCTGAGTCCTGCCGTCTCCACAGCAGGCAACAGTTTCAGGTGGTGAAAGGAAGCGCTGTGCAGTCAGAGGGCCTGGGGTTTGAGCCTGACGCCTGTCTGGACCAGCTCGCGCCAGCTGCCATCAGGCCTCTGGTTGCTCATCTGGAAAATGCGACCGTCTTTGTGACCCATTACTAGACCACGCTGCTCTAAATACTTTCCATGGAGCCCTTGGAAAGGAGCGTGCAAGGCCCCGGGTTCTGTCCAGGGTAGGTCAGCAGGCAGAGGGGCCCGTCGGAGTCCCAGTCTGCCCTGAGCTGCTGTCACGCCCACCCAAATGTGGCCCCTCAGGCCCAGGATTGGGAGATGGGGGGGGTGGAGACCCAGGAGCTGGCACCAGAGGCAGAAGCCAGGCTGAGCTCCGCTGCTGCACTGGGAGCATCTTGATGCTGGGTTTCAGCGTGGAGGCGGCTGTAGACTGGGCCTGTGTCCAGTCACTTCCTGTTTGGTTACTTTGTTACCTACTCGGCCTGCACTCTGTGGGCCCTGGGAAATCAATCCAACCTCTCTAGCTGTCTGGTCACCTTTCCCCTCAGCTACCCCACTCCGCTCCTTGATGACTTTTGATTTCCCAAGGGCCTCACAGCCATCCCTGCCACTGGGCCTTTGCACAGACTGCTCCCTTATGAGGCATATGTGTATTGTAACCCAAGTATTGTTACCCCTTTTTTAGTCTTCCTCACAGCCCAAACATTATATTTATAATCCCACTGAGATGTTATTGGAATCCCAGCAAGTTAATTCCAATCTACCACCTCCAATGCAGCCCGCAGCGACAGTGAAGACCCCAAGACATAGTCCAAGTGAAGGGCAGCCAAGGGTTTCTAAGCCCAATCCCCCTGAGGATGTGCGGACAAAGGCCCTGACCCAAGGCCTCACCCAGAATCTATCATCTTGTGAAGAAGGGTGGCTCAGGGATGAGTGACAGTGAGGATGGCGGGAATTACGTGAGCAACCTGAGCTGGCCGGCCGGGTGGGGAGAGAAGCATCTCTGCAAAATGCAGGAGCATGACATGGAGAAGGCTCAGTCTGCGGAACTCAGTAAGGGTAGCAAGTAAACCGTTCTTGGAGGCCGCGGCTTCAGTTTCTGATACGGAAACTTTTGTGTCCGGGGGACTCTAGCCTCTTTATCTCGAGGCTCAGAGCCACTGACTGGTCTGCCGTCCCCCTGTGCCCTTGTCTTTTACAGACAGCATTACACTGGGAAACGGGAGACTGGCTGATGGCTTTAGAGATGACAGACCAGCACCTGGGCTGGCCTTATGTATAGTGCTTAGAGCCAAGTAGAGAGGGAAACCCCCATAGTCAGCTCTGTGCATGTCAGCATATAAAAACAAGCCGCAGGATAACCCATGTTGTAGGTTGTCCTGCATTCATGGGAGGGGGGGTGTCGCCCAGATGGTCTCCCTCCTCCAGCAGGCACACCTGGATTCTCCCGGCTTCAGGAGCCCCCGAAACTCTTCTCTGGTGTCCCAGGCTGGTTTGGCTGCCCCACTGCACCCTGCCGGGCTCCCGTCACTGCATTTATTGGACTGTGGCTAAATTAGCTACTGACTTATCCCTGGGTAATGTAGTCGGTAATTAGAGGCGCTGTGTTTATTAGGCCTGTAATACACAGTGCTGTTTCTTGACTGCAGCAGCCCGGAAGGACTCTCGTCACCTGTGCGCCTGAGTCTAGGACAGGGCTGGGATCAGCCCCTCCGTAAACGTGTTTTGAATAAACAGCTCTTAACTCAGGCTTCCCTTAGGACAGGCGACTGTCCCTGGCCTGTACCCTTCCTTCCTCACCCACAGAAGCGGCCTCACAGTGGTCCCCTGACTGGGCCAGGGTCCCCCATCTCCTAGGAGTGGCAAGCAGCAGGTGTGGGCACCGGCAGCCTGGTTGCAGGGCTCCAGCTGTGGCTGCCCTGGTGCAGCTGCCTGTGTGGGGCCTGGCATCTCCAGGCAGGGGTGCAGGAGAGGGACCCGGAGGACCCCCCCAGGGGTCAGAGGCAGCAGTGTGTCACACCACACCTCCCTGAGCTGGGAGGACCTAGGACAGCTGAGTCACAGCCAGCAGTTTCCCTGTCCGGTTCCCTCCGGCTGGGTAAACATTTACCTTCACGGGAGGTTCTGCTTCCTCGGCAGGGAGGAGCCCAGTTTCTTTCTGGGCACTCAGAAATGTCCCTGCCCAGGCACTCTGATTTTTACTCAGTCATTTCCATCCTCCTTAGGCCCCTGTTTTTCTCTCCCCAAATCTCATGATTTTGTCCGTGAGCCGGGGACCCCAATACCGGCAGCCCAGAGCTCTCTGCACCCCAGGGGCCACAGTTGGCTCCTGGATGTTGTCCTGAGGCCATGTGTGAAGGCTTGGTCCCCAGGGTGGCCCAGCTGAGAGCTGGCAGAGTCTTTGAGAGGCAGGGCCTGCTGTGGAGGGGGTCTTCAGGTTTGGGATGTGACCTCACAGGGATCCGGGGACCCTGATACTCAGGTCTCTCCTTCTTTTCCCATAAGCAGAGTTCTTTCCCCCTGCACGGGCTTCTGCTATGAGGAGCCGTCTCACCACCACCCAACGCACCAGAGCCCCTGATCATGGACTGGAACATCCAAAATTGTGAGCCGAAGTAAACCTTTTCTCTTCATAAATTGACTGTATCGGGTATTTAGGTACAGTGATGGCTGCTGGCTGCTGGTGAGCTTGCCAGGTTTGTCCGTCTATCAGAGCTTAGCTGAAAAACATACTTCTCCAAAATTCTATCTGATTTATTTTTTTGCAAAAACAATTCCTTTATTATTTTTTGTGGCCGTAGAAATAATACAAAGTCAACACATAAAGTCAATAAAATCTGGAAGTGCAGAATATAAAGGTCACATTCGATGCTATAACCAAATATAAAAACACGGAAACGTGTAGATCCTCAAGGAACTGTCTGATACAGAATGCAATTAGAGGAAATGTATTAAATACGGTCGTGTCAAAACAACGCTTAGGACTAACTATGACAAGCATGAAAGATATCTGCAGGGAAAACGAGGAAAAACTGCTAGAATTACTGGATTAAATGAGAAGAAACTCCCAGGTTGTGGGTTAGAATTCTGAATTTTATATGGATCTTATCCTCCCTAACTTAATAGTTACAATACGTCATCCAGTGTCAAAATGTCAGCTCCACGAGAAGAGGGACTTCAGCCCGCTTCATTCACTGCTGCCCCCAGTGCCGAGGTCTAGCAAGCATCTGAAAACATTTTCAGTGGAATCAGTGAACCCACGCATCTGCCGCTCCTGATGCTGTGCCCTGAGGGTCACGAGCACCCACACGCCCCAGTGTCATTTTTGTTTATCAGCATTGACCATGAGTGGGCCTCAGGTGCCCATCAAGGCTGAATGCCATGCTCCTCTCTGAAACTCTCTGATCATCTTTGGGATCGATCCTTCCCTCTTCAGGTCCTCACAGGCCAAGCATCACAGGGGGCAGATGACAGGTTTCCTGCACCTGGGGCGCTAATGTGGGAGGGAGGGATTCAAGCGTGGATTCCGGCTGATACCCTCCTGCAGCTGGGGCACCGCACAGGCCTCACTGTCTGCTTCAGGCTGCAGAGGTAAAGCACTATCCATCAGCAGCTGGTCCTCCTGCCTCAGGACTGGACACGGTGAGCACAGGCCACCTGCGTCCCCTGGAGTCAGCTCTGGCAGGGCCCAGCTGCTGGGGAGGTGGCAGCAATCGGGGCCCCCATGTCAGCCCCTTTGGGAGGCTTAGGCTGGGGAGGGGCCACGTTTGGTGGCCACCTGCCTGTCTATGGCCAGCTAACAGCCACTGCGGCTCTCCCTTCCCTCCCTTGCAGGGTGCTGGCTCCAGTGCCTTCACCCCAAACATCCTACACCCTCAACTGCACCCCCGTCTGCTCTCCTGGCACCCTCTGAGACACCATGACATCATCCATTCCCTAGCATCAGGACATTTCAGGGGCTGGGGATTTAGCTCAGCGGCATAAGCACCTGCCTTGCAAGCAGGCAGTCGTCAGTTTGATCCCTGGTACCGATAAAAAAGAAAAAGACAAAAAAGAAAAGGACACCCCCAACCTCCCAGACTGGAAAACGCAAATTCAGGTCCTTGTGTTCATCCTTAGCTGTGTGACACAGCCCATGTCACCAGGGCCTGGGAGTCTCCCAGCTGTCAGCTGGGAGGAGGGGCTGGGAGGAGGCAGCTGTTCACTTAGCACAGGGAAGGGAGCACCAGCTCTGGGGTCCAGAATGTCTGAGTCCCAGCCTGGAGCCCTCAGCTGAGCGACCCTGAGGACGTGACTGCGCCTCCTGGGCCTCTCTCGATGTCTGTAAGGTGGGGGCGATCCTAAGCATGGCTCACAGGGTCCTCGTGAGGTCTGACAGAGGCCATGAGTGTTAAAGGTTAGGGCAGAGCTGAGCCAGGCCAGGGCTCAGGAGTGGCTTGCAGGTGGATCATCCTTGCTCTGGGTGCAGCCAACCCTGCAGGAGGCACTCTAAAATTCTGGGGGTCAAAAAGATGGTGCGCTATGGAGCCCGGCCTGCAAGCTGCCAAAGTGGGTGACTGAGAGGAGGTCGCTGTTAGGTGAACTCGGTCTCCAGCTCCACAGGCACGTCGGACGCGTGTGTAGCT